TGCTTTGATTGTGCAGGAGCAATGCACATACACACAAATACGTATTTGTGCCAGACCTGAACACCTCTGTGGGACCATAGCTGTCTTTATATTTGTCAAGTGCTTTAGCTTTGTGCGTCTGGTAGCCTTCTGTGCCTTGGTCTTGATAGCTTACCACCATTTGTAATGTTTCTGTGGGAAAATTTGTACTGTGTTCTAAGCAGCCATCTTCCTCCCAGACTTAGAAAAGTCCATATAATCTGGGGATTAGTATATGACTTCTGAATTATTTTGAATAATTAGGGCTAGAGAACGTCCAAGTTTAATGGGCTTGTCTCTGGTTTATATACTTTTGGCTATTGGAGTATTTAATAAGTCAAAGGTAACATCCTTTACTTTTGTTTGTTTGTTTGTTTGTTTGTTTGTTTGTTTTTTTAGCTGAGCCATCCTGCCACCTGTTGGCAGCTCAGCTCAGGCCGGGCATCGAACCGCTGTCCTTTACTTTTGTATTGGACATTTTTGTATTGAGCATTTATTTTGGGCTGTGGAGATGAAATCACTTTGGTTAGGTGGACGTGGACTTGAAGCTCAGAATTAGCTGGGTAAAGATGGGAGATATAGTCTCACCTGTACAGGATTTTCTTCATAATATTTTAATTTCATTACCTTTTTTTTAAAAACCCAGCTACCCTAACCAATTCCACAGGGCTAGTGTTTTATTAATTGTGAATCTTCATTTAACACTCATTTATTGAGTATTTAGTAAAGGCTGAAACCTGGGGTAGGGAAACAGCATAGCGCATGAAAACAGCATAGGGAATATAGTGAATAATATTGTAAAAGCTATATATGGTGTCAGATGTGTGCTGGATTTATTGGGAGTGGGGGTCACTTTTTAAGTTGCATAAATGTCTAATCACTATATTGTACACCTGAAACTAATAATGTATGTCAACTCTTAATTGAAAAAAAAAAGTCATAATAAAGAAATTTACAGTGTAATGGGGGAGATAGAGAAATACACATGGTTACAGTGCTATGAAACACATAGCAACTAACCAGTCCAAAACTGGAGAGGTGACCCTTGAGCTGAATCTTCAAGGATGATTAGAAATTAGGTCGATGAGCAGTGAGGAAGTAAATTGCAGGCAGTTAATGGGCATCAGTTATGAGGGTATTATAAGCCATGATAATCTGAGGAGGCATAAGGTTAAATTCAGCAAGGCTTTTGATTACGGCAATGAAGAGTATATGCAAATGTTTGTTGATTTGAGTAAGGGAAAGAAATTTGTACTAATTATAAAACTGATAGAATAGATGGGTTATAGAGTAATTTTGAGAACAGGCATTCACATAATTTGGAAATGATTGGATATTGGCAGTCAAAAGGGAATGTAGAGATGGATCAAGGTTTTAGAGGGGTTAAAAGGATAAACAGGCATATTAAGAATTGTAAGAGTTTGAGCAAGCATCTATTCAAATGGAATGTCAAGCAGGAAGTGGTTAGGAGTGCCCTGCGGAGACGGGGGAGGGGGGGGGATTATTGATAAAGCGCCAAAGCAAAAAAGAGAAATTTGACTGGCTAGAGCTTGAACCTAGTTGGCTGCTTTAAGATTGGTTGTCCTTAGCATTTTGATTTCGTGACCTCGAGGCATTCAGGCATAGGTTTGAGTTTGATTATGTAGGCCCCCACTGCATTAGAGGCATTAATGCCTCAAATTGCCTCCTTGTTTAATTAATTTAACATGCTTAGAAAATGAAAATTGTGTGTATGGTGCATTTCAATGTAAGACTTTTGAGATAAGTTCGTTGTAAAGTAGGCTTTCCATGTAATTGTTTGAGAGAAATAATGCTTAAAAATAAAAAAATACAGTTGAGTCTAATTTCATTGTACACCAAGGAAGCAAGATAGGTTAAAGAACTAGGAAGATAATGAATTTATGAAAGTGGAGACGTGAGATATGTTTGAGAAAGAAGTCAAGAAAAGAGGCCTAAATTTGTGTTGCTGGAAGAGAAGAGGTAAAAATTGGAGGAGTGAAAACAGAACCAAAAGGCCTGGGAAATATTAATGTATTGACCACCTCTGGTTGAAAATCTGAAATTGGGTGGAGATAATAAGAGTTGGGTATTAACACTGACTTAGGAAATTTGGCATTTTCAAGGTAAATAACATTTTGCTCATCAAAACCACTTCAGCGGTCCTCCTGTAAAGTGCCACGTGTAATCCACTAAGAGGAGCTTTGAAATTGACTGAAAGTACAGAAAGATGAAGACAGAAAGATGAGGTTAGTAGATCCTATGGTTAGATAGGCAGTTTTAGATTCAAATAAGCACCCTAACTCTAGTCGGAGGTTAGAAGGTCCCCGTGGGTGCCCACCTTTCCTTGTCCTTTGGTAAGTATGGCCAGTGCTCTTCAGGCTACTGGCGTGGTGCTGTTTAGAAGGGTGGTTCTTTTTCCCCTGGTGGCACTTGTAAATTATCACAGGGTGACCTTCCTGTGTTTTGTATTCAAGAGGATTAATCAGTGATTGCAGAGAGGTCAGTGTAACCAGTAAAAGTTCTAAGAAGTCAGCAGGCTTCTATCCCAAACAGTTAAAAGTGGAAGCGTGCATTGAGATCTCAGTGCAGAGCTTATCTGAAGGTAGAGGGCAGGGCACGGTGGTTGAGGAGACGTGTTGGGAAGAAAAGGCCTGTGGGAGATAGGGTCTGAATTAAAAGGACTGTGGACATTGAATTGTTAAAACTGGAAACCATTGCCCTACGTCTGTGTCCCTGAGATACACAAACTGAAGTGCTGTGCAGACAGAAAGTAGCGGTGATGTTGCCACTCGGTGCTGCTGGGACCCAGAGCTGGAGGGACTGAGGGTACTGAGTTCAGTGGACAGGTACTGGGGGCGGTGGGGGGGGGGCGTGCAGTGGCGGAGAGAGCTGTTGGGAGATGGTGAGCACAGCAGGGCTTCAAGCCCAGGGTGGTCATCCGTGATAATCCGTGGGAGGGAGATTGGCCAGCAGTTGCTGGCAGAGGTGCGGAGACGGGGTTGGGAAGAACAGTAGGACGGAGTGGCCTTCGGAAGCTCTTGAGGAAATTGGCAGCATCTTCGGGCCCTTAGGAGACCAGAGCGGTGACTGCTCGGAGCGTTTGGTAAAAGGGAGTGATTCTCAGGGCCACGCTGAGAAAGCCCCCGCCTCCTCTTCCTTGCCCGCCATGCAGTCCAGCTGCGTGACCTTGAGGCCTCGTGGTGCGCCATCCCTAGAAAGGATTCCCCCTTCTGAATGTTTGGGTCACACAGAAATGTAAAACCTAGCAGAGCTATGCTTTGTTATCACAGGATTCCGCTAGGAAAACCTCTCTGAGTTACAGTTAGAGCCGTCCCATGGTTTACTACTGTTACCAAACACTCTTCCAGGTGGGCTCAAAACGGCGGGGTTTCCCAGGGAGCAGGACCAAAACCTCTTGTTTACTGTCTCATTTTATCAACTCGTTGAAATGACCACCAATATCTTTTGTAAATGTTCTCTATATAGAGAAGTAATATTCCTGTATCGTTTAAAATTAAATTCTGTATTTTGAGTTTACATTTTTATGAAATACTTCTTTTCTGCTTTAGAGTTGCTGAATCTTGGCTATTTTAGGCCGAGGAAGGCTGCTTGGTTCATTTCTATCTCTGCCACGTTCATAGTTTTAAATTTTGTGCTGTTGCTGCGATAGCCTTGTCCACATGCAGGCTTTCTAACCTTGTAAGCTCCATGTCCACTACACTGAACTTCTCTAGCACCTGATAGCGACCATCCGATCTTTTACTGAGACGTTTCCTGTGGATTCATGTTGTCTTCTAGACTCGGCGTTGAAGCTGGCCTTTGTCTTCTGCCATCTTGGTGTTCTTGCCCTACCCGCTGTACAGACTAGGCAGTGAGTGAGTGTTGATCCAGGCAGGTAGATATGTGACAGTATTTCTCTGGCTTTTCCAAGTGTTAATGCTGTGTATGCATAGTGTGCAACATGGATCAGCTCTGTGGTTGTTTTTTAAAATGTTGCTTCTGACTTAAGAATGACATCTCAAAGTAAACAGTCAGCTAAGATCTTGTAAGTGAGGATTTGACAGTCTGTAACCTTGGAGGAATGACAATGTAGTTTATTATCTACATTAGGGACTCAATTTTTTGCAGTTGAATAAACATGAACCTTTACTTGGCATTTTTAAAGGGTTGAGCTGGATGTAATCAGTTTACGTATAAATGCCCATATGCTCTGGGCATAGGTTATGACCTAAATTCATTTGGATGCGTAACCAATTTGCTTAAAGTCTTTAAAACTCCGGCTTTGTTTTTTCTTTGCCACGCTTCTTGGTCACATAGCTGTTAAGTGGCAGGATTGGAAATGAAATCCAAACAGCCTGACTCCGGAGCTGGCTCTTGAAACCTGGGTGCCGTTTTGTTTCCCACAGTTGGCCCCCCTTCCGTTCCTTGCCCTGGCTGTGGCGCCATCATCCACCCAGATAGTGAGGTGGGAAGCTGTAGCCTTTCAGGATGCTTTCTAACCCTCAGCTATTCCATAACTATCTGGTCACAGGACTTATGCAGACCCTCAGTTTTTTGTTCACACTACCAGTGCTTTGGTTCAGATAAACACATTTTAAATTGAACCCCACTGTTGCCAAAGTTATTCTTCTAAAATGCAATGCTGGTTATTGAAATCTCTTAGCATCTATCAGTTATCTTGAGGATACACTATGCTTCGTATACTTTGAATGACGCATAAACTCCTTCATAGGGTCCTGTGCAGTTAGGTTGCCCTGTTTGCTCCGAGCCTCGTCCCATTACTCTATCCTTGCATTCCTTTTCCCAGCCGTCCCAGCAGTTCTCTGAGTGCTCCCTCCTCTCCGTCATTCAAGACGCGGTTCATTCGAAGGTTGCCTTTGACCCTTGTCCTGATTCCTGCAGGCTGGGTCCTCCACTGTCTCTTGGGTGCCCCCATGCACTGGTTCAGGGACGCACACTGAAAGCTCTTCATTTGTTTACAGGTTTGTCCCCTCACTGGACTATGAGCTCCTTGAAGGAAGGCATCGTGTCTCACTCATCTTTCTATCCCCAGCGTCTAGCACAGTTCCTGGGACAGAGTAAGTGATCAACAGTTCTTCTTAAACTAAGACTGTATTTAATCATTCAACTCTACGCATGTTGGTAGTTAATTATACCTGTGTAGACCTGGTAATATGTTGTCATTAAAAACAAAATAAGGTCGTCGACTTTGTTACTAAATGAAGCGTGGGAACTAATTGTTTGTTGCAATTGACCATTTTATTTGTTGCGTATCTTCCCTTTCACCGTAAGGTGGTACCGTTTTCAAGCCATGGCCACTGTGTTTTGAGGTTGAAAATTGCAGTTACTGGTTACCAGGGGCATGCGCTAGTGAGTGGGAGGGATGGTTCACATGGAGCAAGGGATTTGGGAACCTGGGGACAGACGTGGGAGGGGGAGCAATCTTTTACCTAGCTGGCACTGTTTCCCAGTCTGCACAGTGGTTCAGACGTCACAATGTTTCAGGTAGCTAATCCTATGCCAGTTTGTCTCCTTTTTTCTCAGGAATTGCCTTTCTGTCTAACTCACTAACAGAGTCTCTCGGTTTTCTTTTAATCTTCCTCCAACTGATTTAATATCTTCACCTACCTGTAAGTCCCGTGTTTACTGTTCAGTGTCTTTCCTGGAAGACCAGTTACACGTCATCTGTGCGCAAGCCTCTGCCTTCTTTCCTTCCCAGGCTGCAGGTGTGCGTCCTTCCCCTCACACCCAGGGAATTAGTGACCTGGCGTTCCTGCAACTGCTGCTTTGCCTTCTATGCATTGTTTAAATGTTTAAAAGTTTTTAACTTGAACATCCCGATTTACATGTAACGTATGGAAGTTCATAATAAAAACAAGCATTTGAGAACCAGCCACTCAGTGTAAACAAGGTTGATACCAGCAGTTAGAATTTCCTGAGCGCCTCTGTAACCCCATATTCCTGTCTTTCCCAACCCCCGAAGGAGCTGCTATTCTGAATTTGTTTTCATCTCTTCTTTTTTTAAAATAGTATTACCACAAATATATTCCTGTTTTGAGTTTAATAGCTTTTATGTATATAGGCTTTTTAAAGCTTGCACAAATGGTATTTTATAATAGAGGAAAATCTATTTTACCAATCTTTATACATTTCTAAGAAGACATGCAAGCATCATAAAAGAATACATAGAAAAATCTCAGTGTGCACATTTAAATTTATAACAAGACTATACTAATGGAGACTTGTTTTTGGACTGTGTGGATATTGCTGTACCACACACAAAACAAAGCTCCTTATCTGGAGTGCAGGGTGTCGCAGAGGCGTTTCCACACTAGTTTCTTTAGCTTGTGCAGACATGGTTTGGTTAGAGGCCTGGCGTACTCCCTGAAAGTGACAGCTTTTCATTTGCTGGCCCGTGGACCTGAGTTCTTCAGTGGGCTTCATTCAGTGCTTGTTGATCAGACAGGCTGAGACTCAGGGTCCACAGTGCCCATGTTTCTGGGTTTCTTCTTCAATCATGGAATCACAGCATTTTCCAAGAAGTGCAGAGCAGAAGATGGGTCATGATAACCGCCAAAGGAGTTCATTTCCTTCTTGTCTTTAGGAGTTAGAAGCGTCTTTTGATGGCCCCAGCAGAGAGTGTTACATCTTGGAGGCGGGACTGAGTGGCACTGTTACTACTCAGAACCCCTATTTGTCTGTCTTTTTCATTCACTGTTACGTTCCTAAGATCCATTTGTGTTGTTGCCTAAGATAGATATACTTCATTCAGTCTTGCTGCTGCATAATGCCCCATTTATGGAATTAGCCTAATTCATTTAACTGCTTTCTGCCACTGGCCCTTGGAGTATTTTTCACGTTTATGTTTATGAAGAGTGATTACACTTGCACATAAGTACAAACATTTTTACGGTATGTATCTAGAATTGCACAGTGAAGGACATGCAAGTGCTCAACTTTGCATGATAATGCCACGTCATTTTCACCAGTCTTGACGCCTACCCTTGGATTTTTACCAATGGAAACACCTAGACCGGTCGGTGTACAAGAACACCACTGTTTTGGCCGTTATTTGGCGCTGGCAAATTTTCCAGTTTTTACCATTCGAATGAGTTAAACATATCATCTCCTGTGATTTTAACTTGTATTTCTCTTGATGAATCATGAGATTCTGTATCTTTTCATATAATTATTGGCCTTACAAGTTTCCCTGTCTATAAAATACCTGTTCAGGTTTTTGCCCATTTGCCTCCTGTGTTGCCTTATTTTCTGTAGTTCTTATATACTTTAGATATTAATCTTTAATTAGTTTTGCATTTTATAAATATCTCCCAGTTTGTGCTTGACTTTTGGTTTTCTTTGTAATGTTTTGTGACAAGTTCTCAGTTTTCACATAGTCAAAACATTGAGTCTTTTCTTATTTGGTTAGTATGCATGTTTAAGAAATGCTTCTGTTCTAGAAGGACACAAACCAATCATTTTCTGCTGTCATTTCTTCTAAAAGTTTAAAGTTTGCCTTTTGTGTTTTCATCACCAGCCCACCTCGAATTGGTTTTGTACATGACTGAGGTAGGGATCCCGTTTCGTGTTCTCATCTAGATAATTTCAGGACCCGGTAATGGTCCCCCCTTTCCCAGAGAGCTGCATGGCTGCATCTGTCACACGAGTGTGGCCTGACACACACTGGCCTGTTGGTTTCATTTGCCCTTCATCAGTCTCGCCAGGCATTGTTGTTTCAGTGTTTCTAAGAACTCTGACTTTGTTGATCCTTTCTTTTTCTTCTTTTATCTTCTTCTTTTACTTTATTAGTGTGACCTGCTTTTTTTGTGTTTACTCTGTTATTCACTCTAACGTAGCAGATTGGCCTGGTAACTCAATGGTTTTCAACCTTTCTTCATTTTTCCAGTGTAACGCTGTAAGGCTATAGGTGTGCCTCTAAGTTGTAATGTATCCCACAAATTTTCATATGTGGTATTTTTGTTATTCAATTTCTAGTATTTTTAAAGAAATACCCAGTATGGTTTTTTTCTGACCCATGAAATATTTAGAAGTGTTTTTTTCTTTGCTGTTTGTATTTCTTAAATTTAGCTTTCATTATTGAATTTTAACTTAACTGTATTGTGGTCAGAGCCTGGGAACAACATGATAAATACTATATCATCTTTGCAATTCAATGAGATTTTCATTAGTTCCCAGTGTGTGTACTGTTTTTCTGTATGTTGCATGTATGCTTGAAAAAAATGTTGATTTCTAATAGTTGGGTATAAATTATTGTTTATGTTTATTAACGCTGCTTGTTCATCGTTTTGTTTTTAACTTTATTTTCTTGGTCCACTTGACCCATGAAAAGTTGCAGTGTGTTGAAATTGCCCATGACAATCGCCAGATTGTCCGTTTCTTCCTGTAGTTCTCAAAGTCATTTGAGGCTTCGCCCTGGAGATGGTGCTTTATTTTGTCTTGTCTGGAGAGAGATTCGATTGCTCAGGAGTGTTCCAGGGTAGAGAGACCAGGAGAAAGCACAGGATGTAGAGGTGTGTGCTGTGTGACTGTCCTATCAGCTTGGAGAGCAGTGTAGCTGCAGCACTGAACTTCCCAGGTTTCCTTGGTGCAGGCGCAGGCTTGGTCTTGATTCTCTTGGCTGTGTTTCCTTTCAGATTCCTTCCGTTGTCTTTGTTCCGTCCACCCTCGACCATGACGGCGTCCCCACCTTTGGGACACTCACCTGTCTACTTGACTTCCATCTTTCCGGGTTGATGCTTCCCGAAACGGTGGAGCTGGAGCTGCTGCCCGTCAGTCAGTGGAGTGCTGCTCTGTGTTTGAGCTGAGCTAAGCACTGCACTTGCTCCACACGTCATCGTGTGATGGAGAGGCCAGCGGCCGACCAGGTTCGGGAGGCATAGAAGCTGGGGAGAGACAGTCTCTGCCTCACTGAGGGTTTCGTTTTCCAGAGCTTTCTTGCTCCCTCTCCTCCGAGCATCCTGATCTGACTTCTGACACTGGGCTGAGGTCCCAGTCTGGGCTGACTCACTTCATGTCCTTGACTGTTCCTGTCCCTGGGTGTCTGCACTGCCAGTCTGGGTGTCTCTGCAAGGCTTTCATCCTCGTTTGGGGTCATCTAGCTGAGGCTGCGATCTCCTGTTCCTTCCGTAGCTGCTCTTGTCCTTCCTCTCACAGCTGGGTCCGCAGGCTCCTCCCCCCAAGACCAGCTGCTTGAGTAGCCTGGGAGGTGCCAGCAGAGGTGTCACCCTCCTTGGGAGGACCCCGGAGGCTTTAGGGGACCTGTGGGCCTCTGGGAGGGACCTGTCACCACACCTGTGATCGTCCTGAGAGTAATCACCTGTGAAGCTGCACGACCTGATGTTCCATCTGTCGCAGTGGTCTTCATGGGCACCCGCGTGCCCCATGTCACCATCCCGCGGTCCCCACCACCACATGCATTTCTGCGCTGTGTTCCCTGGAATCACAGCCCCTGTCAGCCTCTGCTGCCTTAGTCATCAGAGCAGGCTTGGCCTGCGTAACGATCACAGTGTGTGCTTTCCGGGCTGTCACCACCCCGCCCAGGTGCATGGTCACAGGTCTGGCAGTAGGACCCTCCCGTCTGCATCTGCTGTCAGAGCCCTGACTGCTTCCTCAGTCACTAGAACAGCCACTCCTGGCTTTATGCTGTGCTTGATCAGCGGGGTCCCCTGGAGTTGCTACCTACAGACCCCACTGAGGCATGAGCTGGGAGGCCAGGCTGTCAGAGTCAGCGCGGTGGAAACCCGTCTGCTTCCCTGGACCGTTGGTTCACGGGGTAGGTGCGCTGCACTGATACTTACCCCTCCGTGGAAGCCTGTGCTGGGGACTTCTGTCACACCACACCTCGGGTGCCCTGGGGGAGCAGTGTAGGGTGGCAGTTGGCGACGATGGCTGGTTGACACTGGGTCCTCATGGAGCCTGTGGGGAGTGGGCAGGAGGCAGCGGTCAGCATCCTCGTGCCTGTTGCCACTGTTGATGCAAGCGGCTGACGGGTCTCCCGGGTCGTCGCCTCACCCAGCTGCCTGGTGTGAGACGCCGATTCCCTCCTCCCGCGGACCATCCTCAGGCCCCAAGGCTCTGGGAGGGAGAGAGGCATCTTCCTCGTCTCTCACTGAGGCTGCCAGGTTGGGGCGGAATGCAGTTAGGTCTGTTTTCAGAGTATGCAGTTTATAGAGTTTTGTGTTTTCTTACTGCACTGAACCTTGTATCATTTTCTTTTTTCTGCTTAATAATGCTATTTGTCTGCTACTGTAACTAATCCCAGCTTTCTTTTTGTTTATATTTGCCTGCTATGTCCCTTTTCATATTTTTACTTTTATCCTATCAGTATCTTTATTTTGTACGTGTCTCATATCTTTTGAATTTGTATGTATACATTTATGATTGTGTTTTCTTACTGTATTCTCTTCTTTTCTACTATTTTGGGAATCATACCTTCTTATTTCTGTTCTGTATGACATTGAAACTCCACTGGGAATACTATACAGTCTAAAGCTAAACCAGAAACCGGATCACAATGCATCTGCTGAACCGGGCAAGTTTAGGCCGTTCACGCCTGCCCCGCCCTGCCTGCCGCTCCAGTGTACTCTGCTGCTCCTGGGTTCCCTATTTCGTGGCTTAAGCTCTTTTTTAAACACCATGATAGGATGTTTGCACTGTTGTCCATTCAGACACTGTGTGTTTAGATTTGCTTGTCCTGTTCCCTCACTCACCTCCCTCCTCGCACCTCGGATCATCTCCTGTGGTAATTTTACTCTTTTATGAAACGCATCTTTTAGATTTTCTTGAAGCAAAGGTCTGCTGTTGGTAAAGCCTCTCTTGGTTTATCTGGCAGTGTCTTAATGCCTTCTGTGTTCCCCAAGAGTTCGGGTGTTGAACAGTTTTTGTCTTAGTGCTTTGTGGGTGCTTTTTCTACCTTCTTTGCTTCCAGTCTCCCGGTGACACTGCTGTCACTTTATCCCCTTCCTCTGTGTGTGATCTCTTTTCTCTCTGGCTGCTTTTTACATGGTCTCTGCCGTGGTGTTCTGCAGTTTCCGCGCTGTGTGTCCCCAGTGTGAATTTATGTTTCTCCGACTTCTTGTATACATTGTGTTTCTTAGAATTGTAGATGAATGCCTGTCATTTGTTCTGGAAAATTAAGTCATTTCTCTCCTACTATGACCCTCCTCTCTTCTTCATTTCCTGGGACTACGAATAGAAAATACATGTCTGATCTCATTTTATTCTTTATGTCTTTTAGCCTCTCTTTGGAATTTTCCATCTGTTTATTTCAGCACTCCTAAATGATTTTTTCAGATTTATATTCAAGTGTACTGATTGTCTCTTAAGTTTTGTGTAATATGAATAAACTATAGACTTTAGTTAATAATATATTGATATTGTTCATTAATTATGACAAATGTCGCATACTACTGTAAGATGTAATACCAGGAGAAACCAGGTGTGGGGCCGATGAGATCTCTACTATCCTCACAACTCTTCTGCAAATCTGAAACTATTCTATAATAAAGAGTTTAAATTCTGTCTGGTTCTTTTTCAAATAATGCAGTGTCATTTTCATAGCCTCTTAATTGCTTGCCCATGTTTTATTTTATCTTTTTATGCTGAAACTAATTTTTCAAAGTTTATATTTGGTAATCATAATATGTAAAGTCCTTGGAGGGTTGGAAACTAGTATGTTTTGTGTCTGCTGACTCATTCATGGTGGCTTGTTCTCTAAATTTGATTTTTTTTTTAAATATAGGCTCATAACTCTGAATATGTCAACATGTGATGGGTTGAAAAATATTGTATTAGATGTGGTTTCTTAATTGATTCAACTAGTTTTAATCATATTGAAAATTACAATCTGTTGTCTAACACATGAATTCAATTTTTTATAGGTTTAAGTTGAATTTTGGGACATGGCCTCTGCTTCACCAAGGTCTGATACTAGTAATAACCACAGTGGAAGGTTACAGTTACAGGTAACTGGTAAGTTATTTTTATAATAATAAAAAATCATAATTCCCAGATACAATTTTCCTTTAATCCTAATTCAGCAGGTTTATTCCATAAATATCTTTTCTTTTAGATTCACACTATAGTGTATTTGTTCCAATAGGCCTGAAAGGTAGACACCCTCTAAAAGTATTTTACTTATTCAGTTAATATCTATAGAACCTGTGCTTGACGTACAGAAGATACATCCTCTTTGGGTATTGGAATAAGCGTCATTGAGTTGGTCCGTAAATGTTGATTGGGATGGAGAAGGAAGCTGAAGGCCTTTCATCCATTTAGCCACCCATTCAGTCAGTGGGCCAGTGTTTGTTAAGTGGAACGACGTATCTGAAAACACAAGGTCTCCCGGAACTTACAGTGGTGAAACAGATTCGTTTTGTGTGGACAGTTCCTGTGCACGGTGATCATTAACTGGGTACATGGGGACTCAGGCGTTAGGTCTGCTTGGATTGGAGGTGGCCTGTGGACTTGTGGAGTAGTGTGAGAGAGGACTCGGGAACACTTTAACTCCTGCAGGAGGAATCGTGTTCATCTCCAATGAGATTGGCAGCAAAGAGCATCAGGGGAGAGGGGACAGCATTTGCAAAAACATGGAAGAGCCGCGGTTAGGGGTCTTTAGATCACACGTCCTTCCTGGTTGGAACATGTGATTCAGGGAGGAGTGGTCCTTAAGCTAGCAGTTCCACTTCTAGAAATTTATTTTTTTCTGTTACAGTCCTATAACAGATATTCATATTTTTATAGAATTATGAACAGTTTATAATTTATGAAGTATTAATATCATTTATAAAATTATAAACTCATTTATATAATTGTTTATTTCATTTCTATAAACTATAAATATCTGCAAGATAATTTCCTAGAAGTAATGTATATATAGAATTTGTAATATGTTATATATAAATATGTACATATATAGAAAGATTGTAATATGTATTATATATTTTATATATTATATATGTGTGTACGGAGAGAGAGAGAGCGAAAGGGAGAAAGGCTGGAACAGCAAACGACTGGCAGTGGCGTTCTGGGTGGGCTGTGCAATGAAGGAACTGGCTCTGCACGCCAGCAGGAGCCGCGCTGTGAGACAGGATGGGTCGGTGAGCGAGCCGGTGTGGACCGGTGAGGGATGAGCCGCCACAGGGATGGAGAGCCGTGTGTGCGCTGTGCCTGGAACACTGCCTGTGACATTTGCCTCTGGAGGGTGGGAGTCGGGTCGGGGAAGAAGAGGCACTCGTCACCCTGCGGCCAGTCGTTACTCGGAGTTTTCAGTGAACAGAGCTGGGAAATGCTCATTAGAAAGCAAAAAACAAATCCTGAGTTTGTGCCGATGTTTCCAATTCAAAATAACAACGGCATTTTCACTTCATTTGACCTTGTATTTGTATGTCCTTTCTCTTCACCCAAAACTCTTATTTCCAAATGACATCATTATATCTATTTTGTCCTAACACACAATAGCAACATTAGAATGACCAAACCCCACAGGCTTGCGCATTGCAGTGTAATGCTGCTTTGCGAGTTCCCCCTTAGGGTGGGTGGGCGCATAGTCAGAATGCCATGTTTCAGAGCCACTTGAAGTACTTCTCCATTTGGTGATGCCACCACCTGGATAATCAGCTAGGTTCTTAGTTGTCAGTTATTTCCTTACTTGTGTTTTGCCACCATGCAAAGCGCCCATGCAGCTCTGGAGTTGGAACTGTTAGTCAGGGTACATTGGGAGATGCCTGGCAGCCCCGCCTTGCACCCTCCCCTTTCTCTCCCTCACCGCAGGTCAACGCGTCCATTAGCGTGGTCCGTCCTTCCATCGCCTGCTTTTTGAGAGTATAAGCAGCTGTGTACAATGTATGCGTCCATCTCTCTTCTCCCAAACCCCTGGTCCTAGGAACGTCTCTGCACTTGCTTTCCTGCATCTGACAGCCACGCCCCGGAGCGGGCTACCTGACCCATTTCCCTCCTAACTGCTTCTCCGAGCTCTGGGGACTAGCGAGCGGCCCCAGAGTTACTTCAGCCTGCCTCCTCCCCCGGACGTGGGCTTCCATGCCGCCCTTCTGTCCCCGTCACCTTCCATGTGTTCATCCAACATTTTTAAACACAAGCCTCTTACTGATCTAGCAATACCTGTGGGCTAATACTCCTACTCCCGTCTTACCAGTGCAGAAACTGAGAATCGGAGATCAGTACTTTTAGTTAGGGATAGGAAACCAGCGGAGGTCTTTGGCTCTTATTCGATAGCAGTGACTTTGTATTGATTTTTTTTCTTATTTTTTATATCTTATTTAAGAGCAGAGATGAGACCTACAGAGTAATACATTATTGTGACTGAAATCTCAGTTGAAGATTTAAATAGAGTGATAAAATTCCCCCACAATGTGGGGACTCCAGAGCAGATCACATTGCACCTTGCTTATGGGGTGAAGCTGATTATGTGACAAGCCTCACAGGGCAATCCTGCATTTAAAAGCATGGTGTGACAAAATTAACTCAAAATGGATCAAAGACCTAAACGTAAGACCTGAAACAATACATTACATAGAAGAAAGCAGAGGTACTAAACTTATGGACCTTGGGTTCAGAGAGGATTTTATTAATTTGACCTCAAAGTCAAGGGAAGTAAAAGCTAAAATAAATGAATGGGACTATATCAAACTAAAAAGCTTCTACACAGCAAAAGGAACCATCGACAAAACAAAGAGTCAGCAAACTGAACGGGACAATATTTGCAAACACTTCTGATAAGGGGCTAATATCCAAAATATATAAAAAACTCATACAACTCAAAACAAAAGACAAACAGTCCAATTAAAAAAATGGGCAGGGCCGGCCGAGTGGCGCAATGGTTAAGAACTGGCTTGGGATGCCAGAGGGCCCTGTTTTGGATCCCACATATGAGGGCCAGTGACACTGCCCTCTACAGCTAAGATGCTGAACAACAGCTGAACCTGGAGCTGGGCTGCTGTGAGTCGCCTGCGATGGCGTAGGCTGCAGTCCCTGTGGCAGTGGGTTGCCATAAGCTACTGTGTGTAGCCAGCAGCCAGTGTGAACGGCCGTCCAGAAGCCAGCGACTGATCTGCCTCGCCCGGGAAGAGCGCAATGATGGTGCCAACTTGGGCCAGTGAAGCAACGTCCTCCACAACTAGACTGAAGAACAAAACGACAGCAACTTGTCTGTTCCCCTTCCCCAATTCCCCAGCACTGTTCCCATCCCCCCAATTTGCCAATAAAAATCTTAAAAAAAAAAAAAAAAGGTCAGAGGATTGGAATAGACATTTCTTCTAAGAAAGTCACCAACGACCTAAGGATATATTAAAAAATGTTCAACTTCACCCGCTATTAGGGAAATGCAAATCAGAACCACAGTGAGATACCACTTCATACCTATTAGATTGGTTATTATCAACAAGATAATAAGTGTTGGAGAGGCTGTGGAGAAAAAGGATCCCTCGTACACTGCTGGTGGGAATGCAGATTGGTGCAGCTGCTATGGAAAACAGTATGGAGTTTCCTCATAAAATTAAGAACAGAATTACCATATGACTCAGCAATTCCTCTCCTGGGTATCTACCCCCGAAATCTGAAAACATTTATCCATAAAAGTGTACGTATCCCTATGTTCACTGCAGCATTACTCACGGTGGCCAAGACATGAAAACAACCAAAATGTCCTTCAATAGATGATTGGATAAAGAAGTTGTGGCATATATACAATGGAATATTACTCTGCCATAAGAAAAGATGAAATAGTGCCATTTGCAATTGCATGGGTGGATCTTGAAATTATCATGCTAAGCAAAATAAGTCAGATGGGAAAAGTCGAACCATATGATTTCACTCACATGTGGCATATAAAACTGAAAGCAACGAACAAACAAGACAAAAAAACAAAGACAAACTCATAAATACAACAGTTTAGTGGTTACCAGGGAGGGGGTGGTAGATGAGGGTAAAGGGATCAAATATATGGTGATGGAAGAAGAACTGACTCTGGGTGGTGAGCACACAATGTGATATACAGATGATGTATTACAGAATTGTACACTTGAAACCTATATCATTTTACTAACCAATATCACCCCGATAAGTTTAATAAACATTTTTTAAAAAGCATATTGTGATGACTTAAAGTATAAAAAGTGGCATTCTGTGTTTGTTTCAAGGTCCAGAGCACAGTGACTTCCATACATAAAGGATGTGTTATGTGGTAATCAAAGGGTAGAACGGTGACATGCCTGCTGAGTTTACATACAGAGGTGCACAATAAACTCATTCTGAAACAAAATCCTTCACAATAAACTCATTCTGAAACAAAATCCTTCAGTGAAGGACAAAAAGGCACATGTTGCAAAGGAAGTGCAACTTTTACTTTTAAATAACCAGATAGTACAATGATTAAGACTACTTGACTGTTGTGGTCTGGCAGGTAATGGGTCTGTAAACTGAGATTCTCTATTAGCAAGCTTGCTTTTATTTTTATTTTTGTTCTTAACCCATATCTGATGGGCAGCAACAAATAAGAATAAGAACATTGATCATAGAAAACAGGAGAGTATAACAGAAAAAATCAGAGAGGAAACTACCTACTGTGTGGAGTGTGATGTGCACATGTGCGTGCGTTTGTACCGGAGTGTGGTGTGCACATGTGTATAAGAGCACACAGAAGTGAATATTCTTCAATATTTTAGATTTCAGGCATCCTATGGGAAAGGGTCAGAAACAAAGTACAAGATGTGTAAAAAAAATAAAAGACTTGAGATTGAAAAATGAATGGGCTGTTGTATTTACATTTACATTATTAGCTATTATGTATTTTACCTTAATAGTTTCACTTTAGAAAATTTTTAATCATGTGTATCTTTTTTATGAGTGTTGTGAATTATGGATTTAACTTTATTCTTTTCAAATGCTTCAACATTGATGGAGTAATTATATTTTATTGATTTGAAATGCCACCATTATATGCTAATATTTATGCTGTTCTTTTCACCTTTGCTCTTATATCATGGGCAAAACTGTTTTAATTATTTTATAGTACTTTAAAAAATATATATATATATATGTAAAATATCTCATTACTTTGCATTTTAAAACTTGCCTTCACTATTCTCTAATTTTCTTTATCTTTCATTTGAATTTTAAAGCCCCCCTTCCTTTTCCTCTGTTGCCCCCTTCAAAAAAACCTTTCAAAACGAATGTTAGTGTTTCCATTTCGCTCATTTAAAAATAATGTATTAAATTGGAGATAACTGAAATCATTCAGTGCTCAGACTTCCAACTCCAGGAATATATCATGTCATTTCCTTCAAGTCTTCTGTCCATCAGGAAGTTTCATAATTATCCTCAGGGAATCCCATACGTTTCTTAAATTTATTGCTAGAATTTTGGGTGGTGGGTGTTGCGATTGAGATTTTTAAATGAAATTCTCTCTCTCTCTACACACACACACACACACAGACGGCTCTTTCTGATAGATTTTCAGTATTTATATAATGTTACTTAGAGGACATCCTGTGTATAGCACCAAAGGAAACTCATTAATGGGAAAATAAAATCTATGTATCCCGCTAATTAGAATTCTTATTTGAATTAATGTTATTTTTTAGTTATTTAAAACCCCAGTATTCTAGCTATTCACATGCAGTTTTTTTGCCAGCGTATGGTGAAACCCTTGTGAGATTAAAAGTGAGATCTTTAAAAGCCACTGTCCTCGCCTTGCCAGCCTCTGGCATTATTGACGCCTGAACCAGTTAAAGAAGCTCAGTGGGTGTGTTTTGAATGTGTCTGCAGTTAGCGTGGCAGAGCTGTCATAGTCACCCTGTGGTATCGGCAGTCACAGACGGTGACTGCTTGTCAGGCCTTCCCGCCCGCCCTAACATCAGGCACTGTTGGTCCTCGGATTTTCAGATGAGGAAATCGGAGATCAGAGAGGCTCACTGACTCACTTAAGGTTAGATGACTAGTAAGTGGCAGAGTTAAAATATGAACCCGGACATGTCCAACCCAGTGCTTTTTTTTTAAGACTTAATTTTATTAAAGCAGTTTTAGGTTAACAGCAAAATTGAGAGGAAGGTACAGAGACCCCCATGTACCCCCAGTCCCCACACATGCAGTCTCCCATTATCATCACCCCCCCCCAGTGGTACATTTATTACAATAATGACCCTACACGGACACGTCATCATCCCACAGAGCCCACAGTTTACACTGGGGTCACTCTTGGTGGTGGACATCCTGTGGGTTTGGACAGACGAATGACGACATGTCTCCACCATTATGGCATCACACAGAGTCGGCTCACTGCCCTAAACGTCCTCTGTGCCCCCCCTGCTCATCCCCCCTCTGACCCCCAACCCCTGGCAACCACCGATCTCTGTCCTGTCTCCACAGTTCTGCCTTTTCCAGAACGTCACAGAGTTGGAACCACACAGTGTGTAGCCTGTTCGGATTGGCTTCTCTCACTCAGTCACATGCACCTAAGGTCCCTCCATGTCTTTTCATGGCTTGATGGCCGTTTCTGTTTGGTGCTGAATGACATGCCACTGTCTGGATGGACCACAGTTTATTTATCCATCACCTACTGAAGGGCGTCTTGGTTGTTTACAAGTTCTGGTGATTATGAATAAACTGCCTTAAACATCCATGTGCAGGGTTTGTGTGGATATAAGTTTTCAACTCCTTTGGGTGAATACCAGAGATTACAAAAGCCACAAATAGGCCACATGTATGAACCCATGAAATATCCAGAGTAGGCAAACCTAAAGAGAAAGAAAGTAGATTATACAGTTGACCCTGTAACAGTGGGGAGGTTAGAGGCGCCGACCCCCGTGTAGTCGAAAATCCGAGTATAACTTCTGACTCCCCCAAAACTTAACTACTAATGGCCTATTGACTGGAACCTATGGATAACAGTCGATTAACATATTTTGTATGTATGTGTATTATATACTATATTATAATAAAGTAAGCTAGAGAAAAGAAAATGTTATTAAGAAAACCATAAGGAAGAGAAAATACATTTATAGTATTGTGTGTATTTATTGAAAAAAACCTGCATAGTGGACCCGTGCAAAGCTGTATTGTTCAGGGGTCAACTAAAGTTGCCTGGGGTGGGGGTTGGGGAGCTGGGAGAAAACAGGAGGATGGCTGCTTGATGGTAATGGGGTACCTTTCTGGGGTGAGAACTGTTTTTTAAAATTGATTGTGGTGGTGGTTGCAGAACCACCATTGAATTACATAGTTTAAATGAGTGAACTATATGGTGTGTGAATTATAGTTCAAACCACTGTCAAAATTCAAAAGGGTCTCAGGCATTACCATACTCTTGTTCTATTGCTTTTTTCATTCTGTCAATGGAAAGAGTTTGGGTTGTACAAGAAGCACAGTTCCATTTTTATTGATTTATTAGCACAAAATACTGCTTTCTAGCTACATATATTCACTAGTGATTATCATGTTTCTGTTAGTTTCTAGTGCCAAACTAAAAAGAAAAAAGAACTGGTTTGGAACAGCAATATATGCAGAAGTACTTGTAGATGGAGAAATTAAGAAAACACCAAAGTCCAATAGTTCTTCTAATCCAAAATGGGATGAACAGCTGACTGTGTAAGTACCTTATAAAAAGAGTACAGAATTTTCAAAGGGGGATGTGCGCCTTGGAAATTTTTAAATTATTATTTTGTAGGCTGACTTCATAGTGATGACTTACTTTCCAGTATGACTAGACATTTAAAGTTTAAAAAAATTGGAGTTAATTCCATTTTCTTTATAGAGGAGGCATAATAATCATCACCTTTGCTTTATAAAGTACATTATTTCCATGTAGTCATATTTTCTCTTACTGTCTGATAAAAATATAGGGCATAAAATCAATTATTCTTAATTTTGGCATTTCTGAAATACAGTGTTATAAATTTGTGTATTCTAACCAGTGCTATCAGTTACCTAAAATCTTTAGAAATATGTTCAAATAGAAATAATTATTGTGAAGTCTCAGACTCTTGAGGTATTACTGGTGTTTTGGTTCACTAATTATAAAAATTCTCATCTAGCTAGTGAAGTCATTATGTGCTTGAAAGCAAATGCTGTTTTTATAATTCAAGTCATTGACTGTTTCAGACAATATTTTTTTCTCAAACTGAATCATGGCTTTTAAAAAATTTTTGAAACAAATAATTTAATAGGAATTATCACTTAGAATAATGGTGTATGCTCCTGTGTCTTTGCTATAATTTACCCGTACAGAAATGTGACCCCACAGACCACATTGGAATTCCGCGTTTGGAGCCATCACACTTTAAAAGCAGATGCTTTATTAGGAAGAACAGCAATAGATTTGAAACAAGCGCTGTTAAAACACAACAGAAAGTGTAAGTTTTTCTTCTATCCTTTGTTTCTCTAAAAGTTTATTTTAGACACTTTGAAAGTATCCTGAAACCCAATGTAAAAATACTAGCTTTGTGTTTATAACGGAGACCTCCGATTACTGCCTGCGACTGGGGTTGCACGTGACAGGAAATACTCTACCGTCTTACAGACTTACAGAGTGACCACAGGCCTCCATGACTCACTCAAGGACGCAGATACTTGCAGTTACCTCAAGAACATAGGTTTTCTGATTCTTAAGGGCTCAGTTTTGATTAGAAGTAATAGAAAACTAACATGACTCTAGACAGCCTTGTAGAATTTAAAAATACACTGATAATTGATCAAATTCTTGACTGCCTTTATTCAGGCTCTTGGCTTATAAGGCACTGGATTCGGGTTTTAGTTAGTAGCAGTTGAATGGGCTCTAGTTAAATCTTAGAGTGTTGTGGGATTTATTTTTAAAAAGCAAACCAGGGGGCTGGCTGAGTGGCGGGCGCGTTGGTTAAGAATTGGCTTGGGAGCGCGAGCTCTGATCAGCTGGGCCTGGGCTCAGATCCCGCATGGGTGCCAGTGACACTGCGCCCTCTACAGCTAAGATGGTGAACAACAGCTCGACCTGGAGCTGGGCTGCCGTGAGTTGCCGGCGAAGGCGTAGGCTGCAGTGGGGCTGCAGTGGGCTGCCATAAGCTACCGTGAATGGCCAGCAGCCAGCATGAGCGGCCATCCAATGGCTGGCGAGTGACTGCCTCACCCGGGAAGAGCACAATGATAATACCAACTTGGGCTAGTGAAGTAACATCCTCCACAACTAGACTGAAGGACAAAAGGACAGCAACTCGTCTGTTCCCCTTCTCCAATTCCCCAACGTTGTTCCCCTCCCCCAATTCCCCAATAAAATCTTTAAAAAAAAAAAATTTAAAAAAGCAAACCAACAGACACTGCTTATGAACCAAACAATAACCCAACAAAATCATGACAACCTAGTGATGAATAAAGATATTCAGTACAAAAACATTTCCTGTCCACTGTCCAATTAGAATTCACTCACGGGTCTAGGGGAAGGTTGTCAGTGACCAGGTGTGATGTTTCTGATGAGAGCTGTGTCCAGAAAGTGTTTGACAGTCACCTTAAGGCAGCGGTTCTCAACCTTCCTAATGCCATGACCCCTTAATACAGTTCCTCATGTTGTGACCCCCAACCATAAAATTATTTTCGTTGCTACTCTATAACTAATTTTGCTGCTGTTATGAATCGTAATGTAAGTATCTTTTTGTTTTCCGATGGTCTTAGGTGACCCCTGTGAAAGGGNGTAATGTAAGTATCTTTTTGTTTTCCGATGGTCTTAGGTGACCCCTGTGAAAGGGTCTTTCGACCCCCAAAGGGGTCACGACCCACAGGTTGAGAACCGCTGGTTTAAGGGAACAGAATCTGACTCTCTGTGTGTGTGTGTGTGTGTGTGTGTGTGTGTGTGTTCTGCAGTGTGCCTGAGTCCCGCACCTGTGCACAGAGAAGGGGTGTGGAAAGGAGGAAGTGGAGGAGCGTCCTGAGAGGAAGGAAGGTTACTGAGATGTGAGGGCTGTGAAAGGATCTGAGAAGGACACAGAAGCAGGCCCGCCTTTGAGGGGCCCTGACTCGGGCATGCCTGAGAAGTTCCAGGATGGTCTCTGTCGAGACGCTTAAAGAAGTCGATGGTGTGAATGGCAAGCAGGATCAAGTCCTTGAAGGCACATGACAGTAGGGAGGAGGTAACTGGAACCGGAAGAGGTGTTTGTGGAGGCCATGATATTCTAGGGCAATTTAGGGACAAAGGGAATCAGTGTGCTCATGTGGGGAATGTTGTTATAGGAATTTACGAACACGGTCAATCATCACATACATAATGGAATTAACAAGCAGCTTGAAAGTGGAGACTGTTTTATCATCTGTGTATTTCACTGCTTTCCACAATCAACAGCCAAAGATTTAAGAAAGTTCAAGTAAAGCCTTACAGTGGAATCTCGCTGTGTGGACAGCGGCACTGGGCCACACGGGCACGTGCACGCACACACTCCTGCCCCCGCTCTGGGCACCCCAGCAGTTCCTGAACTAAGTTCTGTGGAACCCTGGGTCTCACTCCAGTTTCAGAGACACTTGGCTAGAAGATCAAGTCCAGCTCCTGGTCCCAACACCTTACAGCGTCTTAACTTTGTCTGATTTCCTATGTCTAGCTTCGTTCTCCGACTGTTCTGTCCAGCTAGTCTTGCTCTGAGTATGCTTTGCTTGTTCTCCTTTCCTGAAAGCAGTCGCTTGGTCGCTAATCAATTCCTAAGTAGTTCAATAACTAGGCATTTGCTTAGTGTGTTTTTATATTTAATTCTTTAGTATACATGGAATTATTATGGAGAAGGGTATAAAAAGTACATTCTAAGTTAATTTTCTCCTGCTGCTATCCAGTTTCACATAGTATTAATTTTTCTTATGGATGGATTTGGCCCACTTTCATTTTGTGCCCCACTTATCCAGCAGATCCCCCCACCCTTTTTTGTCTTGACATTGATGCAGGCTGTATGGCGAATTCATTCTTCTTGTCTAAATGCTGTTGCAATGTAACTTTTTCTGAACTATCATTATCTTTCAACATAAATTTACTTAACTGTACCCTAAGTCCTTTTTGGAATGGGGGGGCATAATGAACACTTTCACAAATAAAAACAAAACACACTAGTTGTAATAGCTATCTGTAACTGAAGAAACTTTGAATACCGTTCTGATATAGGTGTGACATTTTTCCTACAGCTAGATAATGGTCCATCCAGCCTTCTGTCATCCTAAACTGTTTCTTGTGGTTGTTGTACGTACCTAAAATGACTCGTCTTACCACATTCTTTCATTAGTAATGGTACTGCATGTTAGATATTGTCTTTAATAGACAGATATTTGTATTAGAACCACTTAAATAAGGATGCAATACCAAAAGTCTTGGGAAGAAGGCAGAAGGGAGCACCAAATGACAGTCTGTGACGAATACCGCAGATCATACTGTGCATTGTCACTTGCCCTGACCAGAATCTAGACTTAGTCTTAAATATATTCCTGTATAATCCCAGGGTCATTGAGTTTTCTCGTGGTGACTTAGATTTTTTTTTGCCATTTTCTTCTGTCTTCAGAATGAGAAGTTATCTACATCAGCACAGCTCTCTAAAAGTTGCAGTCAGTAGAACTTTGTGATGGTGGCTGTGTTCTGTATCTGTGCTGTCCAGTGTGATCATCACCAGCCTCATGTGACAACTGAGCCTTTGAAATGTGGCTAGTGCAACTAAGAAGCTTAGTTTTAAATTTTATTTCACTTTCATTAATTTAACTGTGAATAGCCACATGTGGCTACTAGAGCTCCCATACTGGGCAGTGTAGCCTGCGACTTATATGATGTTTGAGTTACAAAATCAGAATTTATTCCTGTTTTTCAAAAAATGAGCTTGCTTTTGTGTGCTGCTTCTGTGTTTTCCTTTTGTAGAGACTGAATTGTTTACAATGGGTATCGGATTGGCTTTCTTGTCAGGGTCAATTCTGGAAGCTCCTTAGTGCATTTTCTTAATTGCTAGTCTGAAAGCTGTGTTTTGTTTTAGGAAAATTTCTAAGTTTAATGGTTTCTAAGTTTCTCCCCCATTGTTATGCCCTGCCCTGCCATTTGTGGCTTACGTTTCTTCTGACAATGTGTTCGTATTATTTGATCATAATGATCCTTTTTCCTAAGTGTGTCATCTGTGCCGCCTGCTTGGTCTCTTGTTTTGTTTGCAACTTCTTTCTTTGTCGCCTCCAATGTTGTTAAGTTTTCATGTTTGCCATTATGTTTCTAGTTCCCCCCCATCATTTCTTTTATAATATTAATAGTTCTTAAGATTTTATTTAAAAATCCTCACAGCATATATTAGTCAATAAACCTTATTTCCTTTACCTAAGATTTTAAGTTTTTTAATGTAACTTAAGGATTTATTCTTTTGACCTCTGCAATCTTTTAAATCAGACCTGAGTTGCTTTTAACTTTATTTTCCCATTTGCTAATAGCCTCTAAGTATCCTCTCATTTCTAATTATTTATGATTTTTTAAAATAAAGATGTCCTGTTGTTTTGATATGTTTGATTCAAAGCTTCCTGTCTTCCCAGAATTTTCATATTCTACCTGTTATATGCTCTGATTACTTGAGAAAATTTAAAGCCCATAAAAGTAATTGTATTTTTACTTTCTTAGATATAGGACTTTTATTCATTAAGTAAACATTTACTGAATTTAAGGAAGAAACAAAACATACACCGTTTCTTTCACCAAAATACGAATCTAGTGCTCTCCCATATCAAAATGTGTTTGCAGTTGTCAAGGTCATTGTCTCTCTTCAAATTTATGAGGCTAGTTTCTTCCTGTACTCAAGGCCCTGACATTTGGGTCTCATAAATTCCTGTCTTCACGTATCCCTTCTCCTGGTGTACGTATTTGTGGTAAGGGTGGAGGATTAGTTCATTTGAATAGTTTTTCTTCTATTTTTGAAGCTACTTACACCATCAGCCTTTACGGTATAATATGAGTTGTTACAGCCACCATGGCCTTGAATAAATGCCCCAACTACTCCACCATAAAATCGTGTATTTTCCCAGTAAAACTCCACCTGCAGCTTACAAGGGACATCCTTTCATATCTTCATATTGAAACCCTATGAACCTTCCGTCCTTACCCTTCCTTTGCTGCATGTCATAAACCAAGCTGATGGCATCCAAAGGTTTTGTTCATGCAACCCTCTCACTTACATGGTCTCAGACACGTGTGGACGTAACACCTCGTTTCTGCCTCAGTTAACCTTCAGCTATGTGTTCAGACCACTTGAACACGTTCTAAACTATGGAAGGTATTTAATTGGCTCTGCAGATAATGTGTGGTATTTTTAGCTTTCTTTTCTTTATGTTACCAGCATTGGAGATCAAGATACCTGAGATATATTTCTCCCTCTCAATCCCACTATTTTTTAAATTGCAAAGGAAAAATTCCATTATTGTCAAAGATAATCAAAGCTGGACACTCGTTAAAGTGGTAAGGACAGATTTTAGACAATAATATGCTATTGCAATAAGGAGGAGGGTCCAACTTGAGCGGAACTGAACTTCAGTTTGTACAGAAGGTACTGGGCATTTCAAAAGGAAAATGTGGGAGTAGAGACGGGGGCAAGTGAAACTAGGTAGTCAGGAAAGTGAAAAATTAGGGAGTGAGATTGGTGACAATGTGATCAGACCAGCTCTGTCTTCTATGAAGAATTCTGTTCTCCCACTGAGACCGGGGGCCGGAAGCCCTGTCCTTCCCGATGATTACATTGCAGAGGAATGTCCTTGAGGAAGGACGGGAACTATTTATGTGATAGTCCCCCCAATTTTATGATTCAAAAACGTTATACCCCAGTCTCCCATGTTCAGAATTGTGAGACTAGGTGATGTAAATACCCACCCCTGCAGAGAGGTCAGATCTTGGACAGAACGAGTTTTTGTGGCACTGGTGATTTCTGCAAGAAAGGGGTGGTTGCCAAGACCCTCCTTCAAAAAAAAAAAAAAGTAAAAAAACGACAAAGAAAACCTTGTGAACTCGAGTTAGAATTGTGCGCAGAGCTGAGCTTGGACTCTTGGAGTCTAGACTCGGGGGTGCCCTCTAACCACAGAATTAGAAACAGACCCTGACTGGACTCAAGCCCAGAGATTACTGTTAGCTGAATATCCAAGAATGAACTTGCCATCAAAGGCTACAGAGTACAGGAGCCAGTCCCCAGAGCAGGGCTTGGCAGACGTTTTCTGTAAAGGGCCAGGTGGTAGACATGTCGGCTTTGCAGCCATGTAACCTTTGTTGTACCCATTCAGCTCTGCCATGGCAGCAGGAAAGCAGCCATAGCAAACATGCAAATGAATGAGCTTGGCTGTGTTCAAATAAACCCTTCCTTACAAAACAGGCAGTGGGCCCCATTTGGCCTGGGGACCATGGTGTGCTGACCTTGGAATGGAGGGTGGAGTAGAGGAGGTAATGGCTGTAGGTTTTTGAACACCAATGAAAGATAGGAACCTGCAGATCCATAATACCCCAAGCAAGACGATAAAGACAAAGCCATGCTGAGACACATCAGAGTGAAATGCATGACACCAGAGACAAAAAAGCAGCTAGACATAAAAACAGGTTATTTGCAAAGATTTATAAATTAGGATTGCAGAATTAGCCATAATAGAAGAGGATACTGGAAAAATATCTTCAAAGAGTTGAAAGAAGGTCATTATCAATGTAAAACTGCATCCTAACAAATTTTTTGAGGATGAGAATACAAACATTTACAGATTACAAAATGAGAGAATTTACCACCAGGAGACCTACACTAAGATTTTAAAAGGCTATTCTTGAAGAATCTGCTCAAGCAGCTAGATATTTTAGGAACAAGAGCTAAATCTTCAAATTCCAGATACATTACGTGGAAAGAGGTGACAAGAGTAACAGAATAGTGGTCAATATAGTTTTCTTTAGGTATAAATTATTGGAGTCTAGATAAATCTGAAATCCATGCTTTTGTAGTGTGTGTGTGTGTGTGTGTGTGTGTGTGTGTGTGTGTGTGTGTGTGTGCGCGTGCATGCGCGCGTGCTTTTTGTACTTCCCCTGATTTCTCTTAATTGTTTTTATTGTTTTTGTGATGTTGAGTGGAAGTGACGTTTCTGGTGGTACAAATGGTTGGGGTAGGTTTTCTGTAAGGTCTTCTTTTATTATGTGGTTCTTAATTTTTTTGCAAAGACTTCCTGTCCAGAGATTAGCAGTAATCCCAGAGTTCTTTTGTCTTTTTTGTACTTGGATAATTAGCCAGTGTTTATGCTGGACCTTTGGTAAATGTAAAAATACCCAAGTAAAACAAAAGTCAAGGAGTTTATCTAAGAAGTAAGTGAACTATAATTTCAAAAGTTACAGAAAGTCAGTGGAGATCAGATTGAAATAATTGGCTTCATTTTGAATAACAAAGGGATCACTAATAACTTTTAATATATATTCTGTGGGATAGAAGAAGTTGAAGCGAAATGACCTTGAGTTTAAGTAACAACTAGATATCCTAATAATAGAAAGACAATACCTGGCCTTATATAAAACAAAGAAACCTGTTGTCACAGTGCTTAGCCATTATTGAGCACTTACTGTGTGGTTTTGCATTTGGACCTGATGACAGTCCCTTTAGTTTGATGCTCTTATTATCTCCATTTTGTATTTGGAAACTGAGGCTGAAAGTAGTTTGACTGCTTACTCAAAGTCCAGCTCGAAGTAGCAGGGCCGGAAATAGTAACCAAACCGTCCGACTCTCATGCAGACATTTTGCCGTAACCCGTCTTATGTGGCAGCCAGGCTGAAGAGCACGTTTCGGCACTTGCTGAACTTGTCACCTGGATGCATTTCTATGTTCTCCGAGGTTTATACTGTGCAGAGGAGCAACTAAAGATGAATCTGAGTGCGTGACGGGGGTGAGGACGCCGTGGGAGGGAGCCATCCTGTGTAGGGGCCACTGCTAAGGACGCTCCTTCCTCCACATGCAGCCAGCCAGCCGGCATCGGGTTACGGCCATGCCGCGTCTGCAGTCTGGTTTCTAATACAGTTCTGTGTGTGGCAAGCGCTTTTAAATAAGGATTTCTTTTTTCCTAGTGGAAAGAGTGAAAGAGCAGTTAAAGCTGTCCTTGGAAAACAAGAACGGTGTAGTGCAGACGGGAGAACTGACTGTCGTGCTTGATGGATTGGTGATTGAGCCGGAAAGCATAAGGAACTGCAGCTCACCTCCAGCCAGTAAGCGGACGTGGTGGGCTGTTAAAGGTGAAGGGGAAACCGCAGCAGGTGCGTAAAAGCCCGGTTTCTTTCTCTTGTTGTTCAGTAGAAATACAGCAAAATGGGGATGCCTTCCACGAGAACGGAGAGCCTTCCGCCAGGACAGCCACCAGGTAGGACGCCAGGTTTGAGCGTGTGGCACATAATGTCACCTTTCCCATATGCGAAGGTTTTCATTTTAACCTTTAGAGTTTGCCATAGAATTTAAAACATGTCGTTTGATTGGGTTCCTGAGAAAGTCATTTTTAAAAAAAATAACGCTCTATTGAGCTGTAAATACACACATCATAAAACCCGCCATCTCCAGGTGTGCCCTTCAGTGGTCTTCACCGTACTCACACAGTTGTGGGACCTTCCCTACTGTGTGCTCGTGAGCGGTCTCTGCCCCGCCCCTGCCCGGCTGCTGCTGGCCACTGGTCTACTTGTATCTCGGTAGATGCGCCTGTTCTGGCCATTTCACGTACATGGAGTCCCACAGTATGTGACCTTCCGCTACTGGCTTCTTCCACTGAGCGTAAGGTTCATCCGTGCTGTGAACTGTGTCAGCACGTCTTTCTTTCTTGTTGGAAATGGGCTTTTTAAAACCTGATGGGCCTGGTGTGTCAGTACATCGTGTGCGGTTGCGTGCGAAATGGGCATCTGACTGCTGCCTGAGCTGGCAGCTTCCTGAGATCCCTGGAAGGGATGGTGCACAGATGTGGCCTCCCCTCAGATCCCCCCAGAAATCATGCTGCCATCTCAGAAACTCCGTTACATGCACTCTGAAGACAGTCATGGAGGCTTCCTGTTTAGAATAATTTAAATCGGAATAAAAGCATATACTAGATGAGATACAATGGAATGAACACATGAAGTTATAAAAATACATTGCTGTAAAACTGATTGGTTGCCTTTGAAGGAGCATGCTAGTATATGGCAGTGACCTTAATCTACAGAGTCACTAATGTCACTCTCCTTAATTGCCATTAAATGATTCTCGCAGAGCACATGAATAGGAAAGTGTGTCTTTTGAGTATATACATTTGGCTTAAACAAATATATCTAGTGTCCATAGTATAATTTACATGAGAAAATGAAGGACTGGAAGGGTACAACAATTAGGTTCATTAAAATGATTGAGTGTATTATATGTCTATTTTAGAAGGCTAACGGCACTTGTTTGAATCACTACCAATCTGAAACCTAGTGTTTATTGCACAGTAACACATTTTGCACAAAGATTCGTTCTTCAGCCCTGGGCGAACTTCACAGGGGCTTTCTAACCTGGACGTCTCGCTGTGGCTGGGGTGGGATGTACCACTCAGAATCACTCAGGAGCTGTTATATTTTCAGACTTTACCTTCCCAAACTTCCTCAACACATCTGATTCCAAAAATACAGGTGACAAGGGAGAGGAGTGTGGCACTCATCATGTATTCATCAGCTGCTCGCTGAGTGCCTGTTTGGTGCCAGACGCTCGTGCCAGCACTCAGCGTACCAGCTCTGTTCCCAGGAAGCTTCCATCCTGGCGGGATAAAGGTGGATAGTGCACAAGTGAGAATACATTGGGTTGTCGGAAAAGTCACGACATATTTTTCTATGTTTTTCATTGCAAAAATGTGTCATGACTTTTCCGACAACCCAATAAATCAAAATGAATTCAGTCTGTTGAAATAGTGTTCAAAATGGACTTTTAAATATTTAAGCCTAAGAATACCAATCTTTATTGTAAATATTCTGAAAGTATTTTCAAAATGCTCATGAAACTTACAAAAATCAATTCAAAACTATTGTAATTTTATCGGATACTGGAAAAGTCTTTAAATGTTGATGGTAAATTATTATTACTAGGCTCTAAAATTATGAGTACATGATAAGCAAATGCTAAGTATTACACCTCAGATTTAGAAGAATTCATAGTGTATAAATTAACTACAAATAAAAACTACAAGGTCAAACATTTTAATTCTTATTGGCAGTGGACAGGGAGCTGGGTGATACTATGTAAGTGACCAGAAGATCTTTTCCAAATGCACAGGCCATTCTGTATCTGCCCTCCACGGAGATCATGTCCATATCCTGCTTAAAATACACTGTACCTAGAATAAGATCTAGATGTCTTACCACAGTCAACAGAGCGTTTCAGAGTCAGGCCCCAGCCCTGTCCATCTCTCTGATCTAGTTCTTCACAGTCCTCTGCTCACGTCCCAGCAGACATACTATTAATACAGTAGCATATTTGTATTTTTCAGTATGGCTTTATCTGCCAGTATGGATGCACTTAGAACTGAAAATACCGTAATTTAAATTTTTGCATAATAAAAGCATGCTGTATGTTTGTTCATTACTCTCTGTATTTGTCATTTTGCTGGAATGTTAAGAACTCAGTAATGATTTCTTAGGAAATTCTGGTGAAAAGCTGTTTAATTGTACTAACTCACTGAAGCGAGGCTTCTTCTCTTGAAGGCTGGCTGCTGAAGGTGCTGACGGAGCAGGTGACCACGTGTCTGCAAACACTCTAGCACAGAGCGCGCGCTGCTCATGTGTGCTGAATGGAGACGGCACACCCCCATGTCCGGCTCAGGGCGCTGCCAGGCCCGAGAACACACCAGCCCCAGCCCCACTCGCGTCCGAGCCTGCCGGTGACACTGGTAAGCATGGCTGCTTATGACATGCGTGGAAATGAGAACTAGGTTAAATTGAATAGATCTGTCCTACACGCTTACTGTGCGGTCTTTCTTCATCTTCAATTCTGTGATAGGAATTTAAAAATCACAATGCCTGAATTTTTTGTAATAATTTTGAAATTTTCAAGATTATTTAGGAACATGCACCAAAAATCTTATTAGCTTGGAGATCACAACGCATTTCCCTAAGAGAGAATTTCTATGATAGCTAGGTTGTTAGGCTTTATGCCACAAAAAATACTATTTAATTCATATGTAGAATATATTTCTAAAAGATCTTAAGTGAATCCATTGATTTGTCAGTAATGAAAGGTTCCCTAAACCTGTGTTTCAGTGTAGAAATATTTATTTCTTGGCATATAACTTAGTAGAAAAATGTACTGTGAGCTGATATAGGTCTCAGAGTTTCATATTTTCCAAGAGTAAGCATTATTCTATTAGAGAAAGAATGCCTAAGGAAGATCTCCTTTGTGATCCTGTTTTTCAGTGGACTCAGCTATGAAGTTTGTGAGTTATTTTTGTTTGATCTTCGTATTTTAACTCTTTCAAATGAATCTCTTGAAACCCAGACGTTTTAGGACTTGCTTAGGATGACCAGTGTGTGTGCTGGGGCTGGGGCTGGAGTCCTGGTCTCTGGATTCCAGACTCTGTGTTTTTTCCTGATTTTGTCCGTTTACGGGAAAGTATTCAAAAGTAGAGAAGCAATTCAGTCGTTAAAAGAAAATAGATGGATTTATAGTTAAGATACTTATGTATTTATGCTCAGAGTTGGGGAATATTTATCATCTGTTATCCTGAGAGTTTTTGTAAACATGGGAACTGATAGGAATTTTGAAAAAATTTTAATTGATTTATTAATGCTGCCCTTTTTTAAAAATATGGATTTAAAGATTTCATGTACCAGAATAGGTAGAACTTTTTAGTCATTAATTTAAGGTGCTGGAAAACGAAGAGAAAATACATATAACCAGGGTAAAATGTGTGAGCAGATGCATTTATTTTCTGATTCTGGCCAACTTTCTAGTAAGAACATTTGTCTCAATTTCTGTTAGCAAAGCAGAAAAGGAAACATCATCTTAGATTATTCAGAATTGTCTCTAAATTAAGAATAGATCAGTTAAAGCAGCTACTGTTCCTGAGATTCTATCTTCTGTATCTGTATGAAAAGGCACCATAAGTGTAAATAGCATCCTTAATTCTGAGAGTAAATACAATAGTGTTTCCTAGAACTCTGCCTTATGTTTTCTATCCTAAATTAAATCTTACAGGTTTACAAAATAGCCTGAGGAAGTACCTATTGGAAGGACTAAAATTTTATTTTTAAAAACATACCAACACATAGAAACATGGTTTATCTGACTGAGTACTAGAATTCGTCATAGTAAGTCATGAATCCAGTGGCTTTTGGCCAGAGGGTTTTTAAGTTGTCAAATACCCATACCAAAAAACATGGTGAAAAAAAACCTAGTTATCCACCCATAAAAAGAAAATTATATTTTAAGCAATGTAATTTCCTTGGAAACTCTCCAAAGGGGTTGTAAAAAACAAAAATAATACCTTTATATGACCAAGTGAATGAGATGGTTTGTTCTATGGGACTAGCACTGGATCCGAACACCAGGTCCAGTTCTATTCTTTCTGGAAGGAATCAGGTAGCTGGACCAATTCTTTAGTATGTCCACTGCTGATTATGAGACGTGTGAGAGTGCCAAATGCTCATTTTAGAAAGGCTTGTACCACCACGCTGTTCCGTTCTTGTCATCACCCTCTGTTTAAAGGATATGAAATCAGAGATTTAGCTCTTCTTTCTAAAATACTTAGCTGTTTGAGTAGATTGCATTTGGGTGTATTCAGATGTTGATGTACAAGGGAGAAGGACTCACTGAGGGAGGCTCCTCGCTGTAGAACCTTCTGTGCATTCTACAGTCTGTCAGGTACTTGATAGGTTTTTTCCATGGGAATAAATTCATTCCCACATTCTTATTTATCCTTGCCTGAAATTTCGAGGTAAAAATAAGACACAGATGAGGAACTAGAAAAGAAAGTTCCACCAACTCTATTTCTGATGACATTCACAGTAACTACGAGAGGAGCCCAAGACAGTCAGAGCAACAATGGCTGACATCAGTGCTGTACCTGTTCTAGACGCTGCCTTTCCATTTACGGAAGTAACTCTTGCAGCAACTCTCACATAAGTACTAGTATTGGAGGGACTGAGGCCCAGAGAGACCACAGCGGGGACGTGGAAGCGCTGGGACTGTCCCCCAGCTCTGGCTCTCAGTTCTGCACTCCGCGCTGCTGTTCACTTGATGTCCGAGCTGGGCAGGACTTAGAGCACACCCCCGGCTAGCTTAGTGACTGTACACTCCGTGCAGCACTGTTGGCGACATCGGACCAAGCAGTCCAAGGGCTGGCTGTCCATTGGCCAGGGTGCAAAGCCTTCCGGAACCTGCCCTGTGAGTAGCGACCACGTGACCAAGGTCTGTTGTGCCAGATACCATCCCGTAGTGGGAGGATGAATTCAGGTACATTTTCCAGGAATGGGGTAACCTCTTTTGAGGTGCTAGTTTAGAAATTTTATTCCATTTCTGAATTGAGGACTTGGAAAATGAGTTCTCTTCGTTGGACTGGGTGAGAGTGTGCACATCCTGTGTGTAACACTGCATGTTTCTGGTTCCGTACCTGCAATTCCAGAATCCTAAAATCTTTCACGCCCCAAGGGTTTTTGGTAAACTCAGGATGGCAGAATGACTAGAACTGGTTCGAGGGTGTTTGAGTTTGTCATGCTTGGTATGAGTGCCCCTGCCTTCTGCTGCAGATATAAGCAGTGTGAGCCCCCAGACCTGCGTGGGTGCTAATATAGGGTCTGTGCCATGTTACCTTCCCGAAGTTCACACTGAGGAATTCTTGGGCACACTTGGCCAGTGTTTCAGGTAAGGGCCTGTGGGCCTGTGCCAGGAGTTCAGGACAAATGGTTTCACCAGACAGGGCTGTTCCCTGAGTGTTGATGAAGGGGCTCTATCTATCTGATGAGTTTAGTTGCTGTGAATATTGGTCATCATTTTAAGCTAAAATGGTAGGCAGTCATGTAGAGAAGAATTGGCTTCTAACAGGACTTAAATCCCAGCTCTGCCACTTAACACAGTCACCGTGTGACCTCGGACAAGCTTAACATCCTCAAAACTTAGTCCCTCCACTTATAAAAAGAGGACAACACTCAACTACCTCCCTATTAGGTTTGTTTCCACGGTGACGTGCAGAGCCTGGAACACCCACATCGTCCTTGGACAGTGGTCAGTAGTTAAGGAAAACATTTTCTTCCCCACTTCTTCCCCCTGCTCCTAACTTCTAGCGTAAAATGACTTTTTCTAATACACAGTTATCGTTTGGTTAATAAAATAAGTCAGAGCTCAGCATGGTAAGTTTTAGGCAGCACTAACTGATTTCACAAGTTTCTTAGACTTTTGTTTTTAGCCTTTTAATTTGAAATAATTACAGATTCACAGAAAGTTGCAAAGAAACGTCCCAGGAGGGCCCCTGCTCCCTTCACAGCCCCCCTGTGTTAACAGCTTGTGTAACCTTGGGACCTGGCAAGGCCAGGTTACCTTGGCGCCGGTACCACAGTAACGGTGGTACCATGGCACTGACACATCCCTGGGAGGGCAAAGTAAGAGACCCCTAAAAAAGTGTTTAACAGGTTATGCCAGACTTCTAATAAACATTTCAGTAAGCGGTATTCTGTTTTGCTTGTTTCTAGTTTTATTGAATTATAGCCAGAATGTGGTCTCCTGATTGTAGAGAATTGGGGTTTTTGTTTTGTCCTTTACACATGCCAATTTTTCTGAAAATTCTGAGTGTATTTGGATGGAATGTGTAAATAGTAGAAAGTCAAAACTACCTCTCTAACTATAAGTTAGGTCAGGTGTATTGATTGTGTTATTAAATCCTTCTTATACTTAATATTTTTACTAAAGCTTTGTCTGTTATCTGCATAGTTTGGAGAGAGGTCCATTTAGTATTTCTTTGGTTTGTCTTTAATTTTTTGATTTAACAAATACTTGTTTTCATATGCCAGGCATTTTGTAGCTGTTGGGAATGCAAAAGTGAACACATCTGACAAAGTTTTTGCACTGTGAACTTAATGAAAAAGGAATAAAAACCAATAAATAAAATGATTGCACAGCCTGAGAAACAAAACAGTGTGCTGTGTAGCTGGGGTGGGGTGGGGCAGGTGCAGTGTTACAGACACTCAGGACCGCCTTCCAGAAGGCCTGAGTGAGCATGGACCCCCGAGGGGAGACCGCGGGACAGCGTAGCACGCCCTGCCGTGGGAAGGAGCCCCCAGAGCATGAGAGGGCGGTGCAGCTGTGGGGAGGGGCCTGTGGGCCCGCGCCAAGGGCCTGGCGTTTCCTCTGGTCGTACTGGGACTCCACTGGAAGTAGGGCAGTGACAGATCTGTTATGTGTTTTAAAAAGGTCACTCTGCTGCTATTTGGGGAATGGATTGTAGCTGGACAAGAGAGGAAACAGTCCGTTGCCTGGGGGCAGCCAGACATGACAGACAGGGCTAAGTGTGACGATGGGGTGGGTGTTGGAGCAGCCGTGGTGGGCTCTGAGTTTTCCTTGACAACTGAATGTGCTGCTTACACTTAGTGCTTCCCCTTCTTCCTCTGTCTCTAATTGTGTTTTATGTCTGTGTTTTAGCAGGTACAAAGGTTGTGACTGTTTCTCATTGGACTGGGTTATCTTTTCTCAAATATTCCTCTTTTCCCATTTAGTGTGATTTTGCTTTGAAAAGACTACTGCTTATCTTTTCTTTTGTGGAAATTAATTTCACTGTTGAAGGGTAAATATTAAATGAGGTAGTTCTTGTCAGTGAACATTAGATAGGAGACACCAGAATTTAGAAGTCTCTGTGTACACATTTTCTTTTCATTTCTCCATCTTATCTATCAAATATAAATATCAAACTATAAATATTTTATTTCTTGTACTTCATTATGATATTTTTTTCCCAAAGCATTCTTTCCCCCACATTTGGTGAGGAACTTGATTGATTTCCGTAGTTCTTTTGCACTTACCCATTTGATTCCTTCTCTAATTTCTACCATTTGAGCCTCTCTTTAAAAATCTCCCTGAAGATTCCACTGCTTTTATGGCTTCCTCCCAATTTCAATTAGAACTTTGATGTGTAGTCTTCAAATAGGGTTTCTTCAATAATCTCTCTTTCCACTTTTAATTTGACTGACTGTTATAGTGACATATAGTTGAAATGAATCGATCACATTTAAAAGGAAATAAGAACATTTTGTCACACTGGATTGCAGTGTTGGGTTATTAATATTTCTCCAGAAACCATAGAATGAGCTCCTGGGCCTTCTTTGCAGCCCCCTGTAGTGCCGTGTTAAGAATTAATTCTGCCGTATATTTCCCACTATTGGCAAAGAGTTCTTTTGATATTAGCTACCATTTGCATATAAAAAGGGAGATTGAAAGGGATCATTTAAAAGGTTTTTTTTATAACCTGTGCAGACTTTTAGAACTGATCATTTGGAGAAAAACCATTTGTTATCCTAATGTTGGTTTCTGTTGCTAAGTTAAGGTGTGTGTGTGTGTGTGTGTGTGTGTGTGTGTGTGTGTGTGTGTGTAGTCTTAAATTTTTATTATTCACATGTTCATCTCTAAAATGTAACCAAAAAAAATGGTTGGCCTTCCTTTCCTCAGTAGCTGCTACAGTACTTGTCCGTGGGAATTAGGCTCCGACGAGGATAACTGTGCTGTCATGGGTGCTTGTAGTTCCTCAGCAGATCGTCTTACGGATTTTCCTTTTTCAGTTAACGGAGAGCCACCCTCATCGGCAGCCCCTGAGGATGCCGCGGGGACTGCAGTGGCCTCTGAAGACACCGCCTTGTCTCCAGATTGCACTAGTGCCGCCGCTGGTGAGGACCCGCCCGTTCCAGAAGCGCCGGCTGCCTCAGGACACAACGGGCACCTCCTTCCTGACAGTGCAGCCCAGTCTGAAGGCGGATGTGCACTGGACCCGGCCGCGGCCGCCCCCGCCCCCGCCCCCGCCTCTGCCTCTGCCTCTGGGACCGGCTCTGCCCTTGAGGCCGCCAAGTCCAGGCAGCCGGCTGGGTGTGAGGAGCCCGCCCGGCCGCCCTCTGGGACGCCCAGCACCGACACTTTGCCCTCGGGGTACGTCTGTTTCCTTTTCAGATGTTTGACTTCCATTTAAGTAGCAGCTTTTCAGTAACGTATGACTGTTGAATGTGTGTAAAATTTCTCCTTTGTTCAATAATTTGAAATCTGAGTTGGAACCTGATTCATATTACTTATTTGGTACGAACCAAGCCATTGCTCACCTAGTCAGAGTCCACGCGGAACGAGGGAGGGTAAAAAGCTAATGGGAACTGCAGGGCCCTCCTGATTGGATCCTTAGCTATTGTCACTGGTAGGCAAGAGCCACCAGGGCACACCTATCGTCACCTCAGCTCTCTAGCTTCCTGTATGGTCTGCTCCCCACACCCCGAGCTTGAGAACAAGCAGTCTTCCTTTTTCTCCCTTAATGCCGAGTGCTGGGGGCCTGCTAACCCTGCCGATCAGCTGTCCCAGACTCGGGCTTTCGTGGCCGCTTAGCCGTTCTCAAGCCCTGTAAGTCTCCCACCGTGCGGCTTCCTTGGAAGGGCATCCTCAGTGCGTGTTCCGTCTGGCCCTGTCCCGTGCTTGCTCACCTGTTCTTTTATTCTTTGCTTGGCTCTGACGATACTAAGACTAATTAATGATTCATTGGCTCTGCTCTCAGTGGCTCAGCCTTGCAAACACAGACCCGGTACAGGCGGCAAATGCTGGAATGGAGGTGTGGACACGGCGTTTCCCTGCACAGCGCGCTGTCCTCTCACTGCAGCCAGTGCCCCCCCCCAGCGCGCTCCCTGAGCTGCTCTGCTGGGGCCCTTCTCCAGCTCTTCCCGCTCTCGCCTCCCGCCACCTGCGGTTGCAGCTGTGGCCCCTGTATGTGCTTCCTTGGGGGGCTTGCACTGCCCCCCTCACTAACGGTTAAGTCTGCGTGTCCAGCCAGACCTTTCTCTGAGCTTATTTTCATCTACTTACAACGACAAGGCTGTCCCCTGTCACCACTGCCGTTCAACATAGTATTGGAAGTCCCGGCCAGAGCCATTAGGCAAGAGAAAGAACAGACGTCCGAATTGGGAATGAAGACGTTAAATTGTCACTTTTCCCAGATGACATGACTCTTTATATAGAAAACACTAAAGACTCCACCGAAAAGCTATTAGAAATAAACAAATATAGTAAAGTTGCCGGCTACAAAATCAACGTACAAAAGTCCATCACATTCCTATATACTAACAATGAAACCTCAGAAAAAGAAATTTAAAAAAAATTCCTTTTGCAATTGCAACGAAAAGAATAAAATACCTAGGAATACTTAACCAAGGATGTGAAGGACCTATACACTGCAAACTATAAGACATTTTAAAAAGAAATTGAAGAAGACACAAAGAAATGGAAAGACATTCTGTGTTCATGGATTGGAAGAATCAACATAGTCAAAACGGCCATATTACCCGAAGCAATATACAGATTTAATGCAATCCCCATCACAATCCCAATGGCATTTTTTAAAGAAATAGAACAAAAAACTCATCAGATTTGTATGGACCCACAAAAGACCCCGAACAGCCAAAGCAATCCTGAGAAAGAAGAACAATGGAGGCATCACACTCGCCGACTTCAGCAACAGTAACCTGCTGCGAGATTCCACAGCCCACACGTCCCTCTGCTGCTCCTCTCATTTTTAAATGTATTTCAGCAACTTGCAGATACCAGCACATGTTGCCCCTCCACACTTCAGCTCGCATATCATTAACTAGACTTCACTGTTTGTTCGTTTTTTAGGTAAAGTTTACATAGAAGGAAATACACCAGTCTTCAGTGTACCAGTTTAGAGAGCTTTGACAATGCATGTATCTGTTAACTCAAACCCGTATCAAGATAAAGAACATTTCCATCACCCAGAAAGTTCTCCCAAACCCCTTTGCAGTCCAATCCCTGCCCTAGGTTTAGAGAGGCAGTCGCTGTTCTGATTTTCTTCCCACTAGAGATTATAGATTAGTTTACCCTGTTCTAGGACTTAACATAAATGGCATTGGTGTGAACTGTTCTGAGTGAGGCTCTTTGAATCAGCAGGACGGAGCCGGTATCGTTTCTGTTTGTATCATTTGGATCACCAGGTGACACAGGTTTATGTGTCACGCTCAGTGTTCTCTCCACTGGTCTAAAAAATTAAAAAGGGCTTTATTTTGTCCATTTCTATATTCCTTGTGCCTGACACTGTGCCGGCCACTTAGCAGGCTCTCGATAAATATTTGCTAAGTTAGTGATCTGGAGCTTGACTAGGCGATTGAGTGAGCGTGCAGAGGTTCTGGCTTGTCAGTGCCTCTGAGGAAATGGCTAACGAGGTCAAAAATCTACTCAGAAATTCCAGGCAGAACTCAGAGGCACCCACTGAATCGAACAGCAAGGGGATGACTGATTGCTGGCCTTTGACAGAGTGGTTTCTGAGAAACAGCCGGAGGGTGGGGGCGTGAGAAGGTCTCCCCCTGAGCACACTGGGAAAGAGGAATGTTTGGTGTAAGTGGGCAAGAACCGGGGGGCCGTTCTTTGTTTCGTAAGACGGGAGAGACATGGGGGTGTCAGCTACTGAGAGCAGGAGTCAGCGGACACCGACGGGAGAGGTGACTCGGACTGTGGTTTGTGAGGCAAATCTTCCATCTACGCCATTATCCGAACTTGGAACCCCCAGTTATCCAGTCAGGAAATAACTCCTATTGTTTTTATTCTAATGCAGTTCACAGAAATTCTTCCAAATTTACTTTTGTTTTAACAAGGTCTTGTTCACTAATAGGTTTTGAAAACTTATATATGTCTTAGTGAGAAGGGGAGACTGTATCTAAATACTTGAAAGGAGAGGATTGTGGTTGAAGGCGAAGTGTGGCTGTTACAAATTAGCACCTCTCCAGGAAATGGAAGAATTCTGCTGAGGAGTCCCGTCAGTCAGCTGGGTACTTACTCATGGGATAATGGAGTGTGTGGCCAGGGCCAGCCCGCCAGCTTTCACAGAAGCACAGGCACGGCTGTCGAGGGCTGTCACTGAGTCCCCGGACCCAGCCACCATGTCCCCCTGTGCCCTCCTTTACTGCCACCGCATTTGATTGGAATGTCATTTCTACTGAGAGAGAGTGAACTGTTGATCAGTGGTAGTCTCCTATTATGTTTGAACCTCCACAATAATCTCGCTTTTGCCTCTTTCTCCACAAAGCCTGAAATCTTCACTAACTGGCACTTCACAGAAAATGTTTGCCTACCCTGGATCTAGTGAATAGAATGTGGGAAATGATAAAGAAGAAAAGTGCCTCCAAAAGTGCTTATGAATATGCTGTTCTCTGTAGCCAGCAGTTCAGTCTGAGAAAGATCAATCCTGTTAGAGTAAAACACTGAATTCTGGAAGTAAGCTTTCACTTTGGAAGATTTAAGAACCAGAGGCCAGCATAAGTGCTTACTGAATATTTGTTCAGTGTTAAATTAGAAATATTTACAATTATGATAAAACGGGAAAAGAGTTTCATAGCCATTGTATGGATGAAGCATTTGGTTCTTTCCTACCCAAAACCCAGACTATTGACAATCGGATTTTACCCTTTCCACCCAGGAGATTGGAAGTGTCTTCTATGTAACTGTCCCCCCACACACACCGAAAAAGATGAAAAATACTGATATGTGTGTTCTCCAATGAAACACCCTCATTATATCACCTTTCAATTAATCCCACAGTCCGTGAGCCCCACCCAGCTTTTCGGTACCTGCTCATTAGACACCCGGACAAACCTCTTACAGACTTGTAAGACAGACAGCCAAATGGCCTAGAAAGTGCTGTGGGGAAAAATCAGACTGTTTTAGTATTCTCAGAGGGATAAGAGTAGATGTAACATAAATGAGCGAGGTGTTACAACAATGGAATACTCAAAGAACTCTAAGCTCTTGGAAATCTAACTCAGTCAATTCAGTGGAAGACTTGGCCCAGAAAGTAGAGTAAAAAGAAACTTATAAAATAACAGGAAATATTACATAGATATATTCAGAAGGTCTGATGAGAGAAGTTCTGGAAAGAGAGAAAACGGGAGGAAATCCTTAACAAAATAATAAACATGAAGGACTTACATTTTTCTTATTGAAAGTGTTCATCAAAACCCAGAATAATAAGGGAAAAATAAATCTATATTAAGACACACTGCTGTGAAAATTTTAGTACATTGGGGCCAAAGAAAAAAATCCTAAATATTTCCAGAGGTTAAAGAAAGGGGCAAAGCAGATCTCATCCTCCTCAGAATAGATAAGACTTCTCAGAATCGCGATGAAGAGCTAGGAGACACTGGCAGCGCCTTGAATGCCGAGCGACATTCTCTCCAACCTCGAGCCTGTACAGCTTCACACTGTGGAGCGTGTGCACAGACACCCCAGGTTTACACGGGTTTCCTACCAGCACTCGTGTTTCTCCAAAACTAGATCCTGGAAGTGAAAAACACAGGACCCAGGGAGTGGGGACCGATGGAAGAGGCGCGGGGGGACTCCACTGCACGCCCGAGGCGGCAGGAGACTACTTGGAGTTAAATTAACAATAAGTGCGTGGAAACTAGGAAACGGGAGGAAAGGCAACTGAAACAAGAAATCATGTTGTGCTCCATGGCCCAGCTGCCGGGCGTTTCCACAGTCCTAAGAACTTATTTAAGGAAGGACATGATAGCGTGTGCGTGTGTGTGTGTGTGTGTGTGTGTGTGTGTGTGTGTAGTGGTTAGGAGGAGGGAGGGAGAGAGATGCATCTTGTGCACCTGAGGGAATAGTTTCATGTGTGGGGTCGTTGTGTAGGGAAAAAAGAATGAAAGGCCTGTCTGATCAAGAGATTACATTCAGTTGGGTCCCTGTGTTTAAGAGGAAGAAAATATTTTCTATTCTACTTTCAAGTTGAGAAGACGAATGTTAAACTCCGAAATGCCAGGTTTTATTTTTGTAATGTTGGAAATGTTTCTGCTAGACCATGTTAAGGCAAGACTGGAGAAAAAGGAAAGGCACCACAGAGGAGAAAGTGAGGGTGGGGAAATAGAAGCCCGCGAGTCCTGGAGGTAAAACAGTGGGAGATAAAGCTGGGATGTCTGCACACCTGCAGGCTTATCAGAAACCAGGGAGGGACAGAGTTGTGCAGAAGAGAAGACCCAGCATCGGCACGGAGCAGTGACGCCATGCGCTTCTTTGAGGGAATTTCTGTCCATATCTTATAGATGTGCATGTTTGAAATTACAGGAAAAAAATGGGTATTACTTCATTGACATTCTGCACCTTGGGATTGATATTAGGCTGAAAGTTCCTCTACCCTAGATTACATTTCTGAGTTTGATGATTCCCCATTCTGTAGATTAGTAACTTCAAAGAACTTGAAGTATTTTTCTGTCCTCCTCTGCTAAGTGTTCTTATTGAGTTTCCAGTAGTGTTCATGAAAGGAAATAATGAAGAACTTACAAAGCACCAATAAATGAGAAAAGAAACAACTTTACAGTATATACGTGTGTGTGCCCGTGTGTGCGCGTGTGTGCACGCGTCAAAAGTAAAACTTGTCTGTAACTTTCCTGATTCTAAGAAGGAACCATTTTTCAGATTGTCTTACGTTTTTGCATCTGTATTAAAGGTGGGAGCAGAGGAAAGACCCCCATGGGAGAACCTATTATGTGGATCATAACACTCGGACGACCACGTGGGAGAGGCCACAGCCGTTACCTCCTGGGTAATGTCACAGCTTTATGCATCTTCAGTTGTGTTTCTCAAACGTGGTTTTAAAAGTTTATTTACTGCAACATAAATGATTCTTCTCTATATTGTTTCCTTGATTTGCTTTTGTGAATACTGGATGTTGAATAAATGAGATTTGTTATATTGTACCCCTTTTACAGCTAGTGGGAAAGGCTTCCTCAAGACTTTGTCAAACACTAGCATGAGTTATTGAGTAGAGTTCAGAATTTTGGTCCATTTTCAGTCTATGTTGTTTTTCTTAAAGGAATGAAAAGCAATTTACATGTATGGTTTTCTCCAGAGATAGTGATCTAAAACTATGTTATTCCATGAAATTTAATGACAAACATTAGAGTGGTTCAAAGTTGTGATCTACAGAAGTTGCCCGAAGTAAAAGTGTATGTTACCGCTCAAATTATAGGAGGTTTTAAATAAATACAAGCATTTCCACTACGTACTACGTAGAGGCCACACCGCTGGGCTGTTGGAGGCCGCTGACAGGCATCTTCCTCTTCCTTTGTTCTCTTGGCGTCCTAACCCTTTCCTCTCTGCGCTGACAGCTAGTTCAGCTACGCTGTCTAGACGTGCCGAGCGCTCGGCCTGTACCTGGACGACTCCTCCCTGCGTTTGCCACTCGGGAGGTCCTTCCTTCCAGGTGGGCCTTAAGGTCCCCGACACGAAACGCAACACCAGACGTGTTCGAAGCCAGACAGCTCGCGGCGGGGAGTGCTGCTTTTGTGAGCTTGTTGCTACGAGATCGTTGTGTGCGTTAGTGACCACACTTGGTTTCAGGGGGACTGAGCCCTGGAAGCTGGGCACTCTGGGTACTGGACAGGTGGGGAAGGGCGCTGTGTTGTGAGGGCATATTAAACAAAGGCGGGGTGGGATGAAACATGGCACTCTGGGGACCAGAAGGAGTCGAGGTGGCTCGGAATGCGTCCCTGGAAGGAGGGTAGGCACGCTGAGGCTGCGTGGTGGACGGTTCGTGTTTAGGCCGCACCTGAGAGCTGTGACAGGTGGAGTGGCGTGACCGTGTCTCAGGTTGGCAGCCGCACAGCGGCAGGAAGGTCGGTTACAAAGCTCTAGGCAGAGTGAACGGCCGGAACGTGGGCATTGGCATGGGCAGGTTGCTGGGGTGCTGTGCGCATTCAGCAAATGCTCCCCCAAAGGGCAGGCAGGGTGACATGGGGACTTTGGGGTCCCTTTGTGAGAGAGTCCTTGGCCAGTGGTAGAATGGGGTGTAGTTAGCTAAACGAAATAGCAAGCGACATGGTCATAGTTTTTCTGAAGACTATAGTTTACATTCTTCTCCAGTTACTTCATGTCTTGCACTTGAGTTTTAAAGCATGTGCTTAACTGCCTCCGTTCTCGATCTTACAGTAAGAGAGTGTGGTCTGCTTATTTGTGTTGTTCTTCTCCACGGCAGCTGGGAAAGGAGAGTGGACGACCGTGGGAGGGTTTACTACGTGGACCACAACACGAGGACCACCACCTGGCAGCGGCCCACCATGGAGTCCGTGCGCAACTTCGAGCAGTGGCAGTCGCAGCGCAGCCAGCTGCAGGGCGCCATGCAGCAGTTCAACCAGCGCTACCTCTACTCGGTAACCGGCGGCCCCGGGGGTGCGGTGTCACGGATGCGGCGCGGGGCAGTCCGGGCTGATCTCTGTCACGTTAGTGTTTCTGATGCACGTGAGCTCTTCAGGGTTCTTTTTAATTCTAGTTTACGAACCTAATTTACATAGTCAGTGTTTGGTCCTCATGGACAGTTTCATACGTGCAGTTTCTTAGTGACATGCTATGTCTGTCCCAACCCCAGTCCTACTGGTAAGTTGATAATTTCGCTGGTGTTGCATCAAGCCGGTTCCCCCTGACTTGACGTAAGGCCAGCCTTGGCATACGCTAGCTATGCTGATTCCCGCCCCACATTCTTGGAAGGAGCCCTTGGGCCACCAGAGAGATTCTGGGATTGGAGACAGCTTTGTCCAAAACATCTAATGCTACCTGCAACTTTGACCTGTTGGTGATTTATTTATAGCCATCAGCAAATATCCACCATAAGAAGGGGGAAAAAAACCCCAAACCTTTGTTAAATGGATTTGATCAAAGGAATTAGAAAATACAAGTACTGGGCATCTGTAGATAGTGCTTGAGGCAACTTAAACCGAACACGTACGTAGAGGGGCTCGTAGACAGAAAGCAGGTAGGAAGGACACAAGAAGAAACCTTGAGTGACCCTCCGAGTCCGGCCTCAGGCTGGCTCTGTGCACTCCACTGTCTTCACGGGGAAATAGTGAGTGCCCGGCCCGCTCCCCTGGTTATCTGCAGCCCGGCTGCCACCGATTCTGGTCTTTTGGTAACTGGTACAGAAATCTGTGGGGAGGCGTTATCATTCAGCTGTGTGTGTGGAGTAAACCAGAAATTAGGTACTGTGGGCGCTTATTTGGGTTGGACCTTGGGGACATGGCAGGATCGGGTCAGGCGTGTCCGAGTGCTGTCCGGCACAGCCTGACCGGCAGTGGCAGAGGTCCAGGGGCATCCTGCTCGGGCTCAGCGTGGCCGTCGGGCCCAGGCTCGCCCGCGCAGCCGCCGCCTTCTGGGCTCCACCTCCCCGGCTAGGCAAGAACAGGAAAGGCCTTTGGAAGGGAGATGGCCTTTCTCTAGCAAGCCCTTGCCCTGCTACTGGGGAAGGGACGCTCTCACCAGGGACTGCTGCCCAAACTCATTGTCCAGAACAGTCATCCTACCAGGCCAGCTGCCCAGGAAGTGGGTAGGGAATACTCTGGCGGACGCCTGGCGGCCTCAGCAGCACGGCGGCTGGGCTGTCAAGGAAGGGGAGTGTGGGAAGAGGTAACTCAGCAGTACGTGTCCACCCCGGTGCGTCTGCTTTATCACTGAGAAGTGATTTCTCAGTCATGGTTCTTAAAGCTGGTGCTTTTAAAGTTGATGGCGGAATGCTTAAATTTCTTTAGAATCTTATTTCTGGATTGTAACAATGTGTAGGCATAAATGTCTTTTATGTATGAATATATAAAAGATTCTAATATCAAGATGAAAGTTTATTTGTATAATGATGATACTGGAGTTTAATATTGGCTTTATTAGTAGGCATTTATTTTAAAAAGAACTATGATAATTGTTCTACGAATAATATTGCCTCATATAAGCACCACGGTTTTCTCAGCTCTCCTGTCATCCCTCCGCACGCCTGTAGGTTATTATGGAAGGGCTAAGAGTTTAAAATATTGATGTCAACAATTGTCTCTAAGTCACTTTAGAAAACTAATAATCAGGTGATGGACTCCTCTTAATTCATGACATTTTTAGGACTTATTGTCTTGAGATTATTATAGTCACATTCCTTCATTATATTTTTTAGAAAATTACTCTAACGTGATTGTGCTAAGTGTTTAGTTTCTCTTTGCTTTTATATTAAAGCACTGTTCTCTCTCTCCCACCCTTTCTCCAATCAGGCTTCAATGTTAGCTGCAGAAAATGACCCATACGGGCCTTTGCCACCCGGCTGGGGTGAGTGAGAAACTGTGGCTGTAAAAATATCTGAAAGGTATTCACATAGCACAGTTAGTAAATGCCGTACTCGCTCTATTTTTTAGAGAAAAGAGTGGATTCAACAGACAGAGTCTACTTTGTGAATCACAACACAAAAACCACCCAGTGGGAAGATCCCAGAACGCAAGGGTACGTATGTGCCCGGCCTGACTCAGTCGCCTGCGCGTGTCGGGAGTCAGGTAAACCTGGCCAGGTGTTTTCGGCCCCTGGGAAACGCCCCGCTGTGACTGTCCCTGTCTTCCAGCTTACAGAATGAAGAGCCCCTGCCTGAAGGCTGGGAGATCAGGTATACCCGGGAGGGCGTCAGGTACTTTGTCGATCACAACACAAGAACGACGACGTTCAAGGATCCTCGCAACGGGAAGTCGTCTGTGTAAGTGCAGCCTCAGTTAGGGCCTGAAGCTCAGCCGCGAATTTCGCCGCAGAGAGTCCTTTGGGACTGAGAAAAGCCACACGCATAATCCCCCAGCCCGCCTGTCTTTGCTCTGCCTGGTGACAGTGGATCTGGCCCGTAACTCCTTAGTGACAACAGCAGCCGCTGCTCACGCACTGACTACAGTGAGCAGACTGTCTCATTTGATCTCCCAGCAGCTCCTGGAGGAGGATGCTATTATTTTCCCTTTTCCGAGTGCAAAACAGCTTAGGGAGCGTGACTAAGTGCAGAGTCAGACAGCGAGGCGCGGGGCGGCTGTGACACGGGGCAGGCTGTCACAGCCCGTGCCCTGACGGGCCCCAGAGCCTCAGGGGAACTGTGTTTCCCGAATGAGGAGATCTCTGAGGCACCAGCCGCCGGCTCTGTCCTTGATCGTCCCACGCCTCCGAGTGATGTCAGGGACGCAGTCTTAAAAGGGCTTTGGCATCTTCCTGCCGTCACACCTCCCCCTGCCAGCTCTACCTGCCCTCCTGGCCCTGTGGCTGGCCTGTCATTGTTCGGTCCTGGCCGGTCCCCTGCTGGTGTCCTGGGCCTTTCCCGCCTCCTTGCTCCAGCAGTGATCAGCTTTCTGTCCTGCTTCGTCAGGTTTTATTTCTCTACTAAATTATTCTCATCAGCTATTATTTCTCCCAGAGTAAATTCAGAACCAGCACCCTCACCTGACAAATGCACTCAGGAAAGCCTGTTTTCTTGCTGCCCTTCCGGGAGGGCTGCCCGGGAGCGGTCTGTACGCTGCCGCTGCTGGGTTCCCGCTCAGCCCGACCCCCAGGACGCCCCGCTGCCCTGAACCCGCCGAGGGTACGGGGACCCGCACGCTGCCAGTGCAGGGTTGTTTGCGGTCCTGGGGCTTGTGACACAGCGCAGCTGCCCCCTGCCTTCCTGCCCTCACGTCCCCTGCTTTGCTGGGTCCTGCTTCCTTTCAGAGTCCGCTCTCTGGGTGACGCTTGTCCACTGCCATGCCTCCCTAAGCGTCAAGCTGCCCATCGCGCACGTTTTATCTCTGGCTCCTGTTTGAAATCACGTGCGATTTTGCGTGTATGTTCAGGTGCCTCCTTGCTATCTCTCTTATCACGCCTTCCTGATAACTCCCACGAAACCTGCTCTGCCTGGGATACTCCATCTTGGTTGATGGCCGCTCTACTCCTGGGAGCGGAATCAGGCCAACTTCCCTCTCTCCCTGACCTCACACAGTCCACCCGTAGTTGTCGGGACCCAGACCCCGCTGTCTGAGCGTGGGCACCGCAGTGCTGCCTGTCGTGCTGCTTTCTACTCACTCCTCACATAAGGACATTCTCCATATAGCAGCGAGACAGACCTTTTATAAAATTTAAGTAAAAACTCACTTCTTTGCACAGAAGTGATCAGTGGTTTCCATCCCAATCAGAGTAAAAAGCAAAATCCCTCCAGGGGCCTACACGCCTGACAACTGCCGACCCTGTTACCTCCTCAGCCCCATCTCTCGTCTCAGTCACTGGCCCCAGGCGGCCTGTGACACTTGGGGCTCCGCCTCCCTCGGCTCTGTGCTCGCCCCCAGCCTCTGTGGCTCACGCCCACCATGCTTTCGTTCAGGTGTCCCACTGTCTGTGACCCCCGTCTGCCGCCCTCTCACACACGCCCCTCTCCTGTCCTTCCACACGGCCTGTGCCTTTCTGTTCTGAGGAGCAGGAGTGGTGAGATGTCACCCCCGAGAGACACACTGCGTGTGGCGCGTTAGTCCTTGTTTCTGGTCTGTCTCCTTCACTAGTACTGAGCTCCACAGAGCCAGCCCTCCCGTCTGTGTCACTAACAGATAACGCCCCGCTGTCCAGGAGCGAGCAGGGACATGCCACACATCTCCCGAGTGTTTGCCGAATGAACTCACTTGACCCTGGCAACACAATAGTGCTTCCCCTCCGTTCCCAGGTGTCCCCGAGACGGACAGTCGCCTGTGCTTGTCGCTCAGGCTCTCGCTCTGTGGGCAGGAGACCTGGGCCCTGCCCATGGGGACGTCCCCACACGCCGCCCTCTCGGCCTCTTCCTCACTGACCAGCTGGACCGTGTGGCCTGGCTGCCACTTGTGCCCAGGGATTCGATTTTGCTTTGCTCACTGTCCCCAGTACCAGTTTGTTTCAGCTGAGGTTCAGGGTTGGCAGAATCCCTTCCACGCTTCTTCTGTCCTCAGATTTAAGGACTGTCAAAGGTTTTCTTTGACACGGTCAGTGGTGGACTTCCATATTTCACGTCGCTTCTTTACAGAAGCCGCATCCTAGCAGCGTCCCCCTGCGGGTGGGCGTCGTGTGTTCACTGCTCGAGCCTCTCAGCCTACCACGCACACCTCACGCCCCTCCCAGCACGTACTGTGCTGCGGCCATCCGTAGCACTCTGGGACACTCCAGTTCCATACCGAGTATTAAATATCCCGCTGTACCGTCAGTAACGTATGGTTTCTTCTGTTTTTCTGTAGAACTAAAGGTGGTCCACAAATCGCTTACGAACGCAGCTTCAGGTGGAAACTTGCTCATTTCCGTTACTTGTGCCAGGTACTAAGTGGTAAATAAGTCTTCCTTTCATAGTCATTTAGCCTCGTCTTTACACAGTCCGTCTACTACAGCTGACATGATGTCACCATGTCACTTTTGTCTCTAGTCCAATGCGCTGCCCAGTCATGTAAAAATCAACGCATCCCGCCAGACACTGTTTGAAGACTCCTTCCAGCAGGTGAGTGGGTTTCATGAGCATGACACAGCTGAGCGGAGTGGGGGCTGCAGAACTCTGAACCCCTCAGAAGGCAGCTGTAACTGGACTCCCCCTTCCCGAGTGCCTGCTGGTCCTGTGCTGGCACCGGGCACCTCCAGTCACCATTTCCTGTAGCTCCCCCGACAGAATCCCTAGAGGTAGCGCCTGTCACGTCTCCATCTCACAGGCAGACGTGCTGAGGCTGACACAGTCACTCCACCACGAACCCGATGGCTGACATAAAGCGTCAGCAGCTCTGGAACAAGCCGACACATCCTGACACTTACTTTGCCAAGACTTTACCCACTCGAACAAACATCTTGATAATACTACCAGGTTGAAATTAAGTTGGTGTGCACGCTGCCCGTTTACGTATTCTTTAATAGCCCTGGTGGTTCCCGGTTAGATGTCACCATCTATCTCAGAGGGACGCCGTCGGAGCACTGGTCACACGGCGGTCCCTCTAGCCTCCTTTACGGCCCCCCTCCAGCCCCTGTGGACTGGATTCTTTCTGGTAACTGGCAGCCACCTGGCGTCCCTCGTCTGTGTCCTTGGCTGGAGACTATGCTCCCTGGGACACACTGTCCTGCTGGCTGCTGCTGTGTGGTCCCCTGGTTGCCCTGCACGCAGCCGCCACTCCCTGAGAGCAGGCGAGTGACGTGTCCCTGGCCTGTGCCACCTGCACAGTATTTACAGGGGCAAGTCAAGACGGTCAGGCCATTTTTTATGATGGAGTGGGGGAAGTCTCCTGCGGAGCATGATAGTGAGCGACCAGAGCCCCGTGCGTGCAGGTGCAGACGTGTGCCCGGTCTGGCTCAGAGACACCAACCGTCTGCCTTTGGGCAAGACGTCACACAGCTACTGTCAAAATTTTTCTTGGTTTGAATGACTAAATTCTTAGCAAAGGATCTGTCAGATGGGCCAGCTTGGGCCAGCCCTGCACGAGCTTTATTTGAGGGTGTGAACATCTAATTCCATGGTGGACCTGACTCCCTCTCCATCGGCCGTGGGAGAGCTGCGTCTGTCCCACGCGACTGCCTGTGCGGTGGGGGCCCACGCGTGCCGGTCTTGGCTTGGGTTCTGACACGCGTGGGCGGAAGGAGTTCATTTTCCCCCCGAAGTGAAGCCTGGTGTACTGGTTACCTTGTGGAGCATTAGGGCCACGGAGACTCGGAGCCAGTGTCGCCTTACGATGCACTGGGCCACGTCTAGGTTCACCGTTTCATAAACGACTCCGTGCTAGAGCCGGGCTCCTTTCCTACTGAGAAAGGGACTGTGTGGCGTAAGCAGGACCCACACAAGGACCCTGTGCTCCCCACTGAGTGCTGCCAGGCAGAAAAGGGTGCAGGTCACCTTTCCCAGGATTTTGTAAAATTGGGGGAGTGACAGGAGGGAATGTTCTGTCCCCTTGAGCTTTCTGTGTCACTTCCTCTCCTGCCACCGACCCAAAGTGGGACCACAATTTAGTGCGAGGGGACGAGGATGTGCGAGTCACAGAAGGAACAAATCCCGGGTCTCCACAGTTGTTACAGGCATTGTCGTAAGAGACAAGAAAATGTGTAATTCTGAACATACAGAAGAAATTTAAATTGAATTGTTTTTGGAAGAAACGTGCTTATATGAGTGTTTAAATATCCATGTTTTTGTTTTTAATTAGATTATGGCATTAAAACCCTATGACTTGAGGAGGCGATTATATGTAATATTTAGAGGAGAAGAAGGACTTGATTATGGTGGTTTAGCAAGGTAAAACACAATCACCTGTCTGCTTTGAAATCGCGTATCTCCATTGTTTGCAATGGATGGATTCTTGAAAAGATATATATTTTAATAGCAATACAGGATTATTTTTAAAAACAAAAAGTAGTCACACAATTCTGGAGGTAACCATTGTTACTACTTTTTTCGTATCCTATACATTTTCTCTGCACATATATAAATTTGTATATAAGTGTGATATAGTATGTGTTTGCTGTGTTTTAAAGAGAATCGATCATATGGCGTGCACAATATAGAAACTGCATTTTGTTATTTTATATATCATGGACATCTTTCCATATCACGTAGAGAGCTACAACTCTTTTAATAGCTGCACAATATTCCATTGTATGGAGATATTATAATTAATGGATCAGCATGTATAAGGTTCTTTCTTATTTTGCTATTATAACAAGTGTATGTCGGTTATATGTTTGTGTTTTTAATCTAGTTTGAGTCCTTTTGAACATAATGTTTTCCACATTCACTAAATATATTGTTAACAGTAGACACGTGTGAAGCTATGGGTGGGAAATCTTTTCATGTTTTTTCCCCTCAATTACTTTGCCGAAACCTAATTTGACAATAATTTGCCTTTTAGCAAAACGCTTTTATTAAATCTTTCCAAAGACTTAAACTTGCGTTTCACAGAAACAACACTTATTGAACTCGTATTTCACAGGTGTACACAATTAGATGTGGGCTTAGGCACGAGTGGTGGGGGCGTCCATGTGGGATTTCAGTTATATCGGCCTATTTTCTCATCGAAAACATTAGGAAGCTTTTTGCAGAAAAGAAGCACTACTTATCCCAGTAACTGTTTAGATTACGTCTATTGTGATTTATCTCAACTTCAGAAATGTGCAGACATTAAAAAGAAAGGTACATCTGAGAAATGAAATACGGTATTATTTTTACAGTGTCTGACTTTGTAACATTCACATTCTTGTCTGAACCCTTATTTTCCTCAACTGCTTTGGTTTACTTTTATATTTTGACTGTTGTAATGCATATAGTCAGTTCCTCCATACCATGATTTTCTTATTCCCAAATTCTTTGATTCGTGTACTGGTTTGCGTTCCGCGTGGGGAACGTTTTCCTCTGGGCGCCCACGCAGCCCTTTTCGTTGAAGTTCATTAAGTTCATTATTGGTTGTCGTACACGTTATTTTAGGAACACAGAAAGATCTTCCTTATGTTACGGGAAGTTTTCTTGTATTGTGTCTGAATATTTTTTCTGTTCCATTTGTTCCATTTTTCTTCAGGAACATCAGTCATGGGTATGTGGAATCTCCTTTGTCAGCCTTACGTGTCTGTCATCTTTTCTCTGATCTTCGTCACCTCTGCTTCTCCATCTGATTTGATTTTTCTCACAGCTGTTTTTCCTCATGCCACTGTTTGCCTTCTGCTGCTTCTGATGTGATTTTTCTTCATTAGTGGTTTTCCTGTTTTCTTCATTTTCTTCCCTGGGCTCTGCTAGCTCTTCTGCTGTGCCAGGATTTTCAGCCTCGGTCTCTCTGGTTTGTTGCGAGCACAGGAAAGGGTGTTGTCCGCCTCTTGCAAGTTAGGACTTGCCCTTCTGTCTGCCGTGTCAGGGTGCAGGATGGCTGCCACGTGGCCGTCGGCCCTCTGTGGAAGGGCTCAGTTTTCTGTGGGCCGCCGTTTGCTAACACTGACCTGCAGCAACTGGACGTTTTAGTTTTAGTCTTTTGTGTCTGCGCAGCCCTTGTGCCTGTGGGATTGGAGTTAGGGTTAGGAACTGGTACTCATTTCTTAGTTGGTTTTGTTGGGGACTCCCTTCTCCGTCCTTCAGGCATTTCCCACAGTGTGGTTTAAAATCTTTAGAAAACATGTGTAAACAGGCTGCCTGTCCAGATCTAGTCTGTGGAGTGGTGACCCCCATTTTGATTTTAATTTGTTTTTCATTACTTGACAACATTAAAGAAAATCTGCATTATGCTTAAGAACCGAGATTTCTGGCTGCTTTGTAAAAACACGAAATCCACGTTCCCGCCTTCTCAGGCCGCCTCCCCGCAGGGGCGTGTAGGCTTTTGGCCCCCAGCCCACCAGGGCCCCGTCCTGTAAGCGCTGTGACTGTGCCCAGAAATCATTTCCCCTGAAAGCTGACTTCTGTGGGGATGCAGTGAGGCCCGGCTGTGGCTGAGGACAGCACAAGGCCCATGTCGAGAAGGGGCGCCGGCCGCCATGGGCTCGGAGTTTGCGGCCCTGCTGCAGGAGAAATTGGGTTTAAGAGTGTTTTGCAAGTTGAGCGTATTTTGTAATATAAATTATTTGTCTTTTCTCTAGTTGGACTTCACGTATTGACTTTTAGAAATGAGACAAATAGGTGGTAATAAGTTAGAAAATGTTTATCACATGTAAAGATTGCACCTTTTTAACTTCAGATCCATTGTTAATGCGTTGGCAGGAGAATTGAAACTGTTCCATAGCAGCAATGGTGTGTATCTTAGTGTCACCAGTCAATCTTGGTCAAAACCTATTGCGTATCAGCCCTAGGATGCCTCCGAGAGTTGTGGGTACAAAGGCGGGGCTTTTGCTTATAGGCGCTGACAGTCTGGCGGGTGGGGCAGGTCATCCGCTGAAAGGTGCCTGACCTGGTGAGGCTGTTAGCAGGTCCTGATACAGGGGACACCCTGACAGAACATGGGCGCCCCCAGCGGGAGCTAGGCACACAGGCAGGCAGACAGGCAGGCGCGTTCGGTGTGGGGAGCGGGCTTCCGTGGACAGGGCGTCACCGTGCATATTTATGGCCTGTTTTTCAATTCCTGTGTACCTGAAAATGCTAAACAGTAACCTTTATTTTTTTCCTTGTAGAGAGTGGTTTTTCTTACTCTCACATGAAGTTTTGAACCCCATGTACTGCCTGTTTGAGTACGCTGGCAAGAACAACTACTGCCTGCAGATCAACCCCGCGTCCGCCATCAACCCCGACCACCTTTCATACTTCTGCTTCATCGGCCGCTTCATCGCTATGGTGAGCCCCGCTGCCCGCTGCTCGGCCGCGCTCCAGAGAGGGCGTTTAATCCTGACGTGCACCGTCCTTGTGTCTGTTCCCAGTCATGCAGGGACTTGTACAACATTGCAGGCGGGGGGACAGTGAGGCAGAGCCTCCAGGTGGAAGGACTGAAAGCGGCCTGGCTGGCGTCCTGTGGGGCGCTGCCCGGGGCCTTAGGGAGCCCAGAGGGAAGGGGGGAGCAGGGCGGACGGGGTCTGAGGGACGCGACCTGCCTGGGATTTGGCTGCGCTTCCATGAGCGGCTCCCTGGGGCAGAGGAAAGCCTTGCGCCACAGGCTGGGTGAGGGGGCGTCCGGGCGCTCTGCGGTTAGAGCCCCGGCGTCTCCTGACACTTCTGATGCCGGCTGAGAGTCGAGTGTGGCGCCGAGTGCAGGCCCTTGCGCCGGGTGGCAGTTGCCATTCCCTAAGGTGGCAGGGTTGTGGCAAGAGCAGAATTGGGGTCCGGGTCATCCAGAATCTGGGTGGGGAGTGTGAAGCTTCAGCTCCCTGGAGTCCTGGCGATGAGGGGAGAGCTGAGAGGCTGTGTGATCGCCCAAGGAGCAGTGTCCCAGACAGGACCTGTACGGACGCGCGTACGTCGGGGACACGACAGGGAACCCACCGAAGAGCTGGGACTGGGAGGCAGACAGTCCACTAAGAACGGGTCCCAGGAGACGAAGGAAGAAAGAAGGACCGATCAACTGTCAGAGGCTGAGAGGCTGAGCAGTGACATGGGGCGTGGCCAAGGGACAGGTGTTCAGGAGTGGTAGAGGGATGACCAATGGGGTGACGTCAGGAGAGCTGTTTGGGTCACGAGAAAGTGGGCAGTGACGGAGAGCAGGGTGGGAGGGGACAGTGAGTGTGGTGGGACGGTGGGAGCGGTGACACGAGTAGGGGCCGGGGACACTGTGTGGAGCACAGGAAGTAGGAAGCTGGCGCGCCATGGGGCCTGCAGCGTCCCATGCTAGTTGTGAGCTCTTGGGGACACAGAAGTCCTTGCTGACGGCTGGTTTCCTCGGTGACGTGGACGGGCAGCACCGAGCCCCCTGGAGGCTGCTGGTCATGGACCGGCCTGCGTGGCTGTGTGCACATTCCAGCGTGTTCCCTTCTGGGCACAGGCGGCGTGCGGACTGTGAGCTGGATTTCGCTGGGCCTGGGATTTTGCTGGAGGCGGGGTCTGAAGGAATCGGATAATGTGATGACTTTCGCGGGGGCGGGGGAGGGGTGCTGAGAGCGGTGGTGAGGTGACGGCCGAGGGGCATTAGTGGCTGGCTGCATGGCCAGGTGGCCTTGACCCTGACACCAGGACGGAACTGCAGTCACCACTTAACAGCAGCACCCGCGGTGGTGCTGAGAGTGCTTAAAGACGGAGAAGCAGCCCAGGAACCCTCTGCGTGGCGCTGCCATCTCCGACTGTGACGGGCGTGTCGCACGTGACACTGGGGTGGGGAGGAGCCCAGGGTCCTGGGGGTGGGGACCGCAGCGAGGACCCTGTGGGTCACCTCTAGTGAGCAGCAGGGCTGGGGTAGGGGTGGGGGGTCAGTAGTGGGGAACAGCCTCGTCCCCTCCCCGGCGGTAACAGGGGACAGAAACAGCGCCCCTTTGCGAGGACTTGAGGGGAAGCAGAGTCCCCAGGGAAAGGCCAGGTTTTTGTTCAGGGCGCTAAAGGATCTGTAAAGGGACAGTTGGTCTGGGGGCTTTGCTAACGATGGTCCTGTGCCTCAGTCACAGGTCACAGCAGAGGCAGGTGGGGGAGGTTGGGGACATGTGAGCGGTGGGACCGCTTTCTGGGTGCACAGGCCGTGGGGGGTGAGGGGCGGGGCCCTGGCTGTTGCCATAGCGAAGGCGCAGCGTACCCGTAAGCCTGGGACTCTCCTGGGCAGCCGTGGGCATTGGAAGCAGCCGGGCACAGCTTCCGTCTGCCTGTGGGGCTGGTGAAGCTCTTTGTCACCCTGTTCCTTAGGGACAGGGCATGTGCAGCTGAACTCTCATTTGCTCTCGCCCTCGGCATTGTTTCCCCTAAGCGCCGGTCTGTGCCTGTGAGGCCCCCCCCCGCTCCCTGTCACCGCTGTGCTCTAAGCAGGAAGCAGTTCTTCGCGCTGCTAAGTACGACTTGCTTCCTCGCAGGCACTTTTCCACGGGAAGTTCATTGACACCGGCTTCTCGCTGCCGTTCTACAAGAGGATGCTGAGTAAGAAGCTGACGATCAAGGACCTGGAGTCCATCGACACCGAGTTTTATAACTCGCTCATCTGGATCAGGTTTGCAGGCTTGTCTCCTTCCAGGGGGGCGTTTTCCGGAAACGGCTCAGGCACCTTGTTAATTGCTGTTTGTACGTTTTTATCACCCAGAGACAACAACATTGAAGAGTGTGGCTTAGAAATGTACTTTTCTGTTGACATGGAGATTTTGGGAAAAGTGACTTCACACGACCTGAAGTTGGGAGGTGCCAACATCCTGGTGACAGAGGAGAACAAGGACGAATACATCGGGTGGGTGACGAGCTGTGTCTGCTCCCTCGGCCTCATCCTGCCGGGCTCCCCTGGGAAGAGCTTCCCGTCCGTCTCTGTCACCCGTGCTGTCCAACCCCTTCGTCCCCTCACCGTCCCCTCGGCCTGTGAACAGGCGCCCGCAGCGCTGCGGGTCCCGGCGCACCGATCGCGGCAGCTTCCCTTGCTGTGTGCATGTTGTCCTCTCAACAGGGCCGGCGGCGTCCTCTGTCCACAGCGAGCACCGCAGGCCAGTGCTGCCATGGGCTGTGGGGCCCCCCACACTCTGGCTTGCCCGTGCACAGGGCTGGCACCTGGCCGTGCCACTGACAGAGCCTCCCTTTTCTAGCTGTGGATGCGCCACAGCTGACCTCCCTGTGTTCGCGGGAAGCTCCCCGTGTGATGTGGACGCGGTGTATTTAGGAGAAGGCGTTTCAGAAGCACAGGGTCTGTCTGAGCCGTTTACCCCTCTGCAGTCACCTGTCTCACGCCACCTTTGTTTCCAGGCTGATGACGGAGTGGCGTTTCTCTCGAGGCGTTCAGGAGCAGACCAAAGCTTTCCTCGACGGCTTCAACGAAGTCGTCCCCCTCCAGTGGCTGCAGTACTTTGACGAGAAGGAACTGGAGGTCAGGCACCCGCTGGGCATTGTGGGTATGGTGGGCGGGGCTGCGCTTCGTCAGTTTGGGGTAAATCCTGGACTGGGCGGGGGGTCCTAAGCTCTCCCGCCCATGATCAGATTTTAAAGTCATGAGTTCCTTGTGGTCTTAACTGTATTTACACTTCTTAAAAGTATATTAGGAATTCTTTTTTTTGAGGGGAGGGGTTGTTAAAATACACGTAACATAAAATTTACTGTTTTAACCATTCGTAAGTGCCCAGATCAGTAACATTAAGTATGTTCACATTATTATGCAGCCAATCCCAGAGCTTTCTCATCTTGCAAAACTGAAACTCTACACCCATTAAACAGCAATCCCCCACCCCGCCCCACTGCAGTCCCTGGCAGCCACCATCCCTTCCAGTTTCCACAACGACCCCTCCTGCTCCGTCCAAGTGAAATCAGACAAAATTGGTCTTTGGCTTATTCCCTCACAGCCCTGCGACACAGTTCGGCCATTTGATAATTTGCACGTCAAGAGACTAATGTCCTTATTGGTTGCTGATTTGCCCTCAGTTCACAGTACAGAGCTGTGAGAAAATATCCATCCTTATTTGGTTTGTTGTGCTTTGTTTTGACTTTTACTCCTAGTCTATTGTTGTTCTTTTACTCCGATTCGTGCATTTCTTAGCCATGAATAATAGGTTAGTAAGGAGTTTTCAAACCATTATCCAAAATAGTGTGTTTTCATAGTCATGCCCCTTTTTACGGGTTAAAAACCTGTGTAAACTTTAAGGTGCAGTTAGTCTTTATAAACGCTCCCACCTACTAGGAGTAGAAGGCACCTTTCTCAGTTTCATAACGAGCATCAACAAGAAAGATGAACCCTGCCATCACTCTAAATATGACGCCCGAGTATTTTCTCTGAGACTGGGGACAAGGCAGAGATGCCCACTTCACACTGAACCAGATGCCCCAGCCACAAACTAAGGCAAAAGCAGAAAGAAAAAGCGCAAAGATTGGGAAGAAGTACAGCTGTCTTTATTCACAAATGATGATCGTCAACTTAGGAAGTGCCAAGGAACCTACCAGAAAACTACTAGAAATAATAGTGAATTTAACAAGACTATAGGGCGCAGGGTCAGTAATTAAAAAATCAGTTTATATCTTCTACATACTAGCAACAGACATTGGGAAATTGAAATTTTAAAGTTTCATTTACTAAAGCATCAAAAAATGAACAAATTTAAAGACATGTAAGACCTCTATACTGAAAACTCAAAACATTGCTCAGAAAAATTAAGGATGACTGTAATCTATGGAGAGAGAGACCATGTTATTTATCGGAAGGCTCACTACTATAAAAATGTCACTTCTCCAATTATTCTGTATAGTCAACACAATCCCAGTCAACATCCCAGCTGAGATTCTGAAATTACTAGGAAATAAATACAAAGGCCCTAGATTAGCCAAAACAGTTCAGAAAAAGGGCAAACTTGGAGGATGTCCACGACCTGATTTCAGGAACTAGTATAGAGCCATGGTAATTCAGAAAAAGTGGGTTTGGGGAAGGGCAGACAGAAAAGTGGAACGCTACAGTCCAGAGATAGGACCCCCGTGAGCTGTCAGCTGATGTTTAGCAGAGGTGCGAACGTACTTCAGTGGGGAAGGGGAGTCTGAACAAGGGATGCTGGATCCGCAGGGCATCCTGTGGAAGGAAATACCTGACAGCGAACACAGAAAAGCAATGAGCCACGCATACAAAGGTTACACTGCACTTCGTCCAAACTCAGATCTTCTGCTCTTCAAGATACTGCTACGGAGATGAAAAGGCGGCCGGCACACGGGAGCCTGTGAGACGGAGGTCTTTTATCTAGAATGTGTAACCACCACCAGGCACACCTTTCTTTAGAGGGGCAGACTCACTCCACAAAAGCAGCCAAGCAATGGCGGGTAAAGGCGTGAAGACACTCGTCAGCCACTGGGAAATGCAAACTAAAGCTCAGTGAAGCCCCACTTGGGGACAGCGCGGCAGTCCCCAGGCGTGACACGTCAGCTGTCAGCCCGGCAGCCCCACTAGTCAGCCCTTACGTACCCGAGTGAAATGACTTGTCTGAGCGCACAGCCTTCCGAGGGCTCATCCCAGCTTGAAGCATCAGCCGAGAATCTGCGGAACCAAAAATGCCCGGCACCCAGTGAGAGGAGAAAGTAGGAACTTCCATGATGAAATCTGGTCAGCACCAGGGGAGCCATCCTGACGCCCACGGCCTCGAGCGTGCATCACGCAACGCTGCTGGGGGCTGAGCAGGCAGAAGAGCATATATGCTGGGTGGCACTCGGAAACCGGGCCCGTGGACTCCGGAGCCAGGCGGGGATGGCGGTTTGGACTGCGAGGTCTGCACGTGGTTACAGAGGTGTACACGTGTGTCAGCACTCACCTGACTGTACTTAGAAGACTGCATCGTACTGTCTATAAATTATAGTTCAAAGCTGATGTGTGAGAAGTACATCAAAATAGGTATTATACTATTTATTACACACAAAATAGTTTCACCCCATATATAATCAACTGGGGTTATTTGAAAATTTCACATATGTACTTTATTCCAAAAGCCTGGATAAAATGAATAACAGGTCACTATATTTTTAAGCAGATACGATAGCATAGATTAAAAAAACAAACCCAGAAATTTAGTTTGAAACTTGTCAATAATCTGGATACCTAACTTAGGATCTGTTTATAGTAAAGAAGATACTCTCTTTAGCACAGCTAAAGTTTTTCTTGAAGTTACTCTAAGTGATGTTTTCAGTTTATGAGTTCAACCAAGTATTTGATCAATAAGGTAAAGTCCTGTTTGCTACGTCGCCAGATTTTGTGGGTTTGCTTACGGTGTTCCGCACGAGCGTAGCTGTGATGGGCGGGTTTCAGCCACCCGCTGAGTCCTGACTGTGACCTGAGGCTCTGCTCATCCCTAGGTCATGCTCTGCGGCATGCAGGAGGTGGACCTGGCCGACTGGCAGAGAAACACCGTGTACCGGCACTACACCAGGAACAGCAAGCAAATCATTTGGTTTTGGCAGGTACTGGCTTTTCTCTCTTCAAAGAAAATGTTTTCTAATGAAACAGTGGTTTAAAACAGTTCGTTTGTAAACTGAGATTGCATTTGGACATGGTGTTTAGTCTCTGAATTCTAAATCAAAGTGAATAATGTGAATCCTTGTCAAAAGATGCTTACTTGGACTGTCTGCCTAAGTGAAAGATGACAGACTTCTTTCAGTAATAGTTTAATGGCAGCCGTTAGGTACAGCATTTTCCTGGCAACATCAAAGTATTGTACAAATTCTATTTGATTCTAGAAGTAAGGGAGGAGGTACGTTTTACTGAGAAAGTCAGAGCAGACACCGAATTCCTCTGAAAGTGATGATATGCTAGGGAATCGGGAAACCTAAAGGGGGGTGTCCGGCGTCCCCCCCGCCGCCCCCGTGGTCTCCGGGCATCCGCGTGCTGCACATTAACCTGAAAGGCCTGTTACTTAATGGACTTTGTAAATATTCAAACACAAAACAGTCTCTGGGCAGGGAGCGTCTTCACAGAAATCTGGGAACTGAGGCCCCTGTGAGCAGCTCAGTGACTGGCCTGGCTTCCTTACGCTCAGCTTGCACTTTCAGGTGAAAAGCATTTGTATTGCTACAGAAAGGTTTTCCAAAAGTTGCATCTTTCCATTAGGCTACGTGTCATGTGCTTATTGCATCATACTTTAAAGCTGTGTGGACATTTCTAGAAATCTATTGTGTAGGTATGTTTCAACATGCAAACTGGCACATTCCAGGGTACTTCCCGCATCGTTACTGGCAGACTGACAGACCCGACACACCTACAGGTCCAGTAGGATGGAACTAGGAAAAAAATCACAGTACGTCCATGCTGTAATTCTATGCCTTGTAATCATCCTTTTTAAAAAAAATGCAAATGGACAAAAGCATTGGCGAATGTTTCAGCACAGCACTAGGGGACAGACGTCACGTGTGACGTGCATTTGGTGGCAGGGAGCTTGTGGTCTGAGGTCAGAGCACGCGTGTGAGTGGCGTGGGGACTGGCAGGCCCCACAGCTGAGCCGCTGGACGCAGGTGCGACAGCCGCTGTCCGGCCTTCGGGTTCTGTGCCGAGTGCTGCTAGTACCTCTGGTAAAAAGTAAACAGGTGGGAGTTGGGCCGTGTTGGGCCTGCCACTCTGAGCTGCACGGCAGGCAGCGTCTGTCTGCCCTTCTGTCCTCTGTCCCGGCCTTCCATGTGGCTGCGTGCCCGCACACCCGGGGAGCTGACGCTGAGGGCCGTGGAAGTGCGCACAAACAGCTGTGATTTCTGAGTGGGGCTTGGCCTGGGGAGTGGGAGGTGTGGGCCAGGCCAGCCCTGAGGCCGTTGCTCGCATGCTGACCAAGTGTGTGCGTGGGCACAGCCAGGCATGGAAACGCGTAGCACCTGGCACATGTTCCTTTGCGCTTTGCCCCGTCTGTGACACACTTCTACCCAGCGCCCCAGACACTCAAGACAGTTCAGGTCAGCGTTTCAGCACATCACCTATGAGTGTCCCTCTGAAAACACCCCGGGGAACTGGAGTTTAGGAGGCCGGCTTGGGTCTTCAGTTTCGAAGAGCAGGTTGGGAGACCAGTGTTCACTCAGGGGAAGCTGGGACGTGTGCGTTTGGTGTGGGTGGTGTCAAGGGGACCAGGCTCGCTGGCTCAGGGGACAGGGTTAGAGCCCGACAGACCTGAGTTCACATGTGAGTTCTGCCGCTGTACCAACCGTCTCTGAGGGCCGGCACTTCTCCTCTCCAAGCCTGTTTCCTTCATAGGCAGGAGCCTCCCACGGTGACAGCAGGTACCTGTGAGGGGGCCACCTGAGACAAAGGTGACTGCTAAGCGCCTACTTCCTGCCTGTGAGGTGGGTGTGACAGTGGCGGACATGCAGTGTGAAGACGACAGAGGGACCATTGCAACTCTCTGCATGATAAACAATGTCACTTATCACGCAGCTTGTGAACCAATTTCAGTGTGAAATTTCAAGTTGACTCTTAATTATCTGGAAGAAATTTAGGAATAACTTGTGTCTACTACTTTTCTGTTGAAGATAATTGAGCATTTATTTTATCATAAATTTGATTTCGTTCCAGTTTGTGAAGGAGACAGACAATGAGGTGCGAATGCGACTGCTGCAGTTTGTCACCGGGACCTGCCGCTTGCCACTGGGAGGGTTTGCCGAGCTCATGGGTGAGTGCGGGGCCCTCAGACACAGGCTGGGACGTGTCGGGCGGGTCCAGAAGGCGGACAAGTTCATGCTTAAAATCAGGTGCACCAGTAAGACCGGGGCGAGTGTCACACAGGCCGGCTGGTCAGCTTTGCTCCTCGGGACTGAAGGAGAGGAGGCCGCAGCCGTCTTTCCAGCTGTAAGGACCTTCTCTAGGCAGAAGCAAGTGACACTGTAGTTTATTCTGTACTGTTCATACGACGGTATGACATGTTCTGTTATTTAGCTAGTTGTCAAAACCAAACAGTTTAAAGGACCAGATAAATTTTGTCTTATTTTCCTGCTTTAGGAAGCAATGGGCCTCAGAAGTTTTGCATTGAAAAAGTTGGCAAAGACACCTGGTTACCAAGAAGCCACACATGGTAAGTTCAAGATTCCTAAATCGAAGCGTCAGTCTTTTGGTTTGTAAGTCTCACTTACTTAGTATAACCTGATATAACTGCCAGTTCATCAGAGCCAGGGTTTCAGTCATGAGACCAGGCTGGGAGCACAGCCTCCTGTAACTGAACCCTTTAGGGCGACTCCTGGTTGGTGACTATGGTGCCCCGCCTCCCACACGGGAAGCGTCAGGGATTGGACACATACTTGGTGTTCACTGCGTGTGACAGCAGCACCGCCAACCTGTCCCGCCTTCTGTGAGCTTTGCGCTCCCTGCGGAGGGAGCACGGGGACACACAGGTCAGTGAGCAGCCGAATGCAAGTTCCAGGATGTCTGTGGAAGGAAACAGGGCGGGCGCTGTGGGGTGGCAGCCAGAGGGGCCCCCAGTGCGAAGGGCCCCTTGAGTTTGCGGGAAGCACATCCTTTGTACAGACGGGGTTGTTTGCAGACAGGTGAGAGCTGGAGGGCCTGGGGCGCTTGGCCGGAAGGACAGTCAGGAGGCGGCTTTGGAGAGAGTCAGACAGCAGGTGACCGGAGCCCAGGAGCCCTGGCAGCAGAGGGGAGAGGAGCGGGGCGCAGGCATGACCGCGGGGTGGTCAGGGACAGTGCTGGCCTGCAGCACGGGTCCTCGCCGGAGGTCACAGCTGCGTCCCCGCTGAGCCCTTATTGTGCTCCTGCTGCTCTGACGTTTGCATTGGGGTGCAGAAAGGCTGGCGCCTCGGCACAGGCCCCTCCATGTCCTTCCCCTGAACACACGAACGCCAGGTCACAGCCGGCTGTTCCTGGCGAGGCAGTGAAACCGCCTTCGCTAATCTGGAACCCGAGTGTGTGTCCCCTCAGGACTCGCAAGACGAACGGCGCCTGCCTCGGGGGAGGCGCTGTGCTGCCTGAGCGGGAAGCCCGTAATTGCCTTCTTCGTGGAGCACTTTTTCCTTGAAAGAACGACTAACAGGCTAACTGTTCATTCAGATCATGTATTTGGGAAACGTTTTCTTGAAGCATAAAGTAAGCCTGACAGCATTTGTGGGCAATGGTAAAAGGTGAGGTTTTGAGCAAAAATTAGAATTTTGGAAAACTTGTATATGACCGTCATGAGCTTGGCAGCTTCAAGACTTTTCTGATGGGACTGGCAGTGTTATTGACAGGTGTGAATTTTTTCCGTTGTATAATTAAATGGGTCACAATCGGAAATTCTAATTCTTTGTAACTTGGTGAACCGCTATTTCCAAATGATAAATGCACGTTGCACCACTGTACATGGGGAAGAGATCGGCTCAGGGACAGATCAGTAGAGCATGAGAACGCACGGCGTGTAACCTTGTCCATCGAGTACTGACACCAAGAACAGCCAGTTACGTGCAGAGTGACTAGAGCACACCTGTTCCCCACCTGCGTGTCTGTGGGGCAGGTTCTCCTTTACTGACCAAAACATAGTGCAAGATATGGACCCCACCTGCCTTCTGTGAAGGCAGATGCTAAAGATTTGCAAAAAAACAATGTCTCTACACTGTTTTGTGAAAGTTATTTTAATTTGTTTTAACTTCTATAATAATATAGTAAATACCGACAGATATAATCCCTTGGGGCTCTCAGATAAGCTCCTTGGGGCGCTTGGTATTTTTAAATGTGCAAAGGGACCTGTGACCAAAGACACTAGGACCCTGGCCAAGATGAAGCCAGTGAGCCCCGTGGAGACGGGGTGGCCCAGGCGGGCTCGTCATAACCAAAGAACGGACCCGCTAAGAGTGCGGGGAGGAACCGTGGGTGGGCAGCTGCAGGTTGATGTTAGATTCTGGGATGGGAAAAGAGTTACCAAGTGCTGGTTGCCGTTTTCTCAAAGTACAAGGTGAGTGAAGGAAGGAACAATGTTTGAGAGAGACTGGGGAGGGCAGAGCTGAAGGCATGTACTGGGGCGTGTGGCTAACGCTGGCCAGAGGGGGTCGCCCCTGGATCCAGGTCATCTGCAGTGACATCCGTCAACCTAGGAGCAGGATTTCTCCTTGTTAAAGCACAGGAGCGAGAAAAGAGAAGGCTGAATTCACTGAGGTGGGAGTTTAACTGATTAGAGTTCAAAAGGGAGACGCAGATGTGTCTTAGCAAAACCGATCAAGATGGCCATGTTCTTAGGGCTCCTATGAACAGGTCTCACATCTGCGCAGACCGCTCTAAGCAATCTGGATGTTAGGTAAGCAGTGTCGTCAAAAACTGTCTAGTTTCCATTTAGTTTTTCAAATGTGCTTTAAAAATATTGTATTAGAAGCCTTCTCAGTTTTATTGAAAACACTGATTTTGTTTCGTTTAGCTTTAATCGCTTGGATCTACCGCCATATAAGAGTTACGAACAACTAAAGGAAAAGCTGCTTTTTGCTATAGAAGAGACAGAGGGATTTGGACAAGAATAGACGTGACTTGTCTTGGAGGAGCTCCTGCATTTAAATAACCCAGCCAAGAAAAGTTGCACAGATAAGTGGTATAAGCTGTCCGTTCTGTACAGTGAATTTTCTGAACGTCTCCAAGCATAAATGTTTTCCGTTCTTCCACAGAAATATGCAAGCAAAGCAATTCATCCTTTTCTACTTTATTTATTGTTCCCTTGAAGTGACTCACCAGGAAAAAGATCCTTCTTAAATTTTGAAGGGGAGAGACTATTAAAAATAGGTATATATCTTTAGAAGCGTATATCATGGTGGCTCTAGTTTTATAGAGCTCCGAGTGTATTAAACATGACAGCCGTTCATTCAAAAACTATCTGGATTTGCTTTACCTTGTTTCTCCACCCAGGGAAAACGTGGGGATTGTTCCCCTGAGGGCTGAGACGCATGGCTGTTCAGGAAGGTGTTAGGGCTCAGGCCAAATCTTACACGGACTGTGTTAAAAATGCTGCTGGCTTTTCTGAAGACAGTACTTGAACCTGTCACGTTGTTTTAAATAAGCCCAACAGTTGAAAGTGTTCCCTCGTTGCTACGTCACTAATACAGTCAGAGCAATGAATGAAACCATGCTTCCTGAAGGGTGGTTGGGCACTAGGTCGGGTCTCCTGACTGCTCGTTTATTCTGACTGGAAAGAACTCACGGAGAAGCATAGAGGCTTGTTTACATGTGACCTCGGGATGCGAAGTATTTGTGGAATTAAAAAGAATCAGGCACGCCTGTACTTTTCAATGTGATGTTCTTTGAATTTAGTTCATAATAAATTGATGCAATTTGATACTTAGGAAACTTTTATGCTTTGGTTTGTGTTCAAAGTTTTGGTTTCCTAAAAGCAGATGGATTGAAGTTTTGCATAAGCTTTGAACACCCAAATGAATCTAATGATTTTCTATTAGTGTCTGAGCATCTCCAGTCCTTTAAAATTCATGAAAAGTCTATGTCATTGAATTAAATAAGTATATAAAAAAACTTTTGGTCATCCCCCAATTTTATATAGATCATTATTTTTGTCCTAGTAAATAACACTTTTTAATTGTTTTTCATTATGAAGAGCATTTGCTGAACTACAAAGATGTGTAACAAATTAAAATCTGGTGTGAATGATATTAATGCTACCTTAGCAAACTGGGCTTCCTTATTAGTATAAAAATATAAATTTGTATAATTTCAATATGGACTGTAAATTTCATTAACTTAAATTTTTTTATAACCACAGAAGTGACATCTTAGAAGGTTGTAACATATTTCACTGCTAAGTACATACGAAAAATATTAGTATACAATTTAATTTCCCTAAACAGTTTGTTTTGCCAAAATTTTATTTTTCTATAAATTTAGATTGTGCTCTGCATTTTTATTCAAAACTCACAGTGAACATGCAATAAAGGCAGTGCTCCGCTGGGTTGAGTAGACTCCTTTCCCAAATCCTGATGACTGACATGGTTAATGACTGACATGGTTATTTTCACCCTGAAGAATTAAGAACAAATCTAATGTACACTACAAACTATGCACGCGAAGGTGACCGTTCTCCCAACGTTTGTGTGGTAGACACACAGCAAGTGTCGCTGCCAGATGAGTTTTGCTGTGACAGAAGTTGCTGAGTGTCATTCAGTGGAGGTGTGTGACCAGTGTGCAGGTGGCTTTCAGGGTACTGGTTCCCTCCTCACTTCAAGTAAGAAAGCACTGTCACCATGAGGCCACACAGAGCCCAGAGGGAACTCATCAGGACTTGCTGTCTCCATTTACAGCCACTCAGCAGTAGTGGGACAAGCTGGGAAACATGGCCCCCTTCTGTCCCTGTCCCGTGTGGGCTCACTGTGCCCAGACACGCACACCACCGATGACCTGAGCCCGCGGAAGGGGTCCCGGCACCGCACATTTCCTGGTTGTCTGTCCCACGGAAAGGAACTGGAAGTGGTTTTGTTTTCAGGGCCTCCCAGGCAGGCGAAGCCGCAAGGGCTAAGGAAGCTCACCCTGCACCTTCGGGGCACCACCTGACCCTTCTTACCCTGGAAGCTAGACGGGGTGGCCCGTGTCAGAAGTGCTGACATGAAACACCCCCTATCCCCCGCCCTGGCCATGCGCGCGCTGAGTCCACTGACCTGAAAAGCCGGGCCCCGCCGGCAGGGCCCTCAGCCTTCCTGAGGCCGCTTTCAGTCACATGCCAGCACACCCCCTGCTCCCGGGGCAGGGCGGGGGGGTCAGAACAGGACGTTAGTTCAACAAACCGCATGGCTCTTGCCAACACACTCAACGCCCCCTTTTTCTCTTCATGGTAATGTCCAGGCACACGATCCAGAATAGATTCTCTAGTGAGCACCACACAAAAGCACAAACGGCCGCCAAAGCAATGCTCCGACCACAGAACATACACGTGCAAAGCGGCACCGCCTCAATCCCCGATTTCCTCGCCCCGATCACCCACGAGACTGCCGTCAGCTGCTCACGGCTCTTGGGAAAGCCCTCCCGTGCTCCCTGAGGTCCACAGCTCCGCGAGGCTGGTGCCTTTGGCTTCCTTTGTCACAATGATGCTTATTTAGAGACAAGGAAAGCAAGCCTGAGCGAGATCATTTCTACCAAGTCCACAGTCTGTGATTAAATGCCCAGTTGGGAAAACTTTGCCAACAAGAGTTCCATGAGCGCTTTCAGGTCCTTCCAGGGTGACGGCCACTGGCACGTGTAGAGTATTCCTTCTATCTCCTCAAAAGGGGGCACGGACTCCACAAGGAGAGGTCGCTGTGCCGCCCAGGCCTGCTCTGTGGTCTGGGATGCTCAGAGAGAACGGGCACCCCGTGTGCTCGTCTCAGAAAGCAGGTGGGGACCTGGGGGTTACCCCAGGAGGAGATAACAGGTCTCTGCCCGACAGGGAAATGCCGAGAACCAGGGCAAAACCTAGGGCTCCACTCCTGGGAAGTCGAGAGGAAGAGCCTGAGGAAGTAACTGGGGCCAGGGCCCCATCTCAGGGAGGCAGACCCCACACCGGCTGGGGGATGGACCCTGCCACCCGCCCCTGGGCATTCGTCCCAGAGATAGACATTATGTCGCTGTGAGCCACCCCTAATGTGCACAGCAGCCCCCAGTGGGGTTACAGGACCTGTGTCCCCACACAATGAAATACAATCAATAACCAAGAAACGGACTACAGACTGAATTTAGATGGCTCGCAGAGGCACGATCCTGAATGAAAAAGCAATCTGAAGATCACACACTCAGATTCCGTTTCCATATCACTCCCGAAAAGAGAACACTAGGGGCTGCCAAGATCGGGGCAAGGGGGGGGTGTCACTACAGGGACAGCACCCGGGCTCTTGGGGACGATGGCAGCGGTTACAGGTCTCCACATGTGATAAAACCGCACAGAACACACGGACAAGGGAGAGCAGCGAGCCCTGGCACGTGCTACCCCCGAGGCGGACGAGGGGAAGGGTATGCGGGACCTTTCGGTACTGTTGGTTGTTTGCAACTTCTTATGAATCTATGATTATTTCAAAGTACAAAACCTTTTAAAGCTCTATAAAATGTCAGAAGGCAGACCCTCCCCCAGTAAAAGGCTTTATTCCTAAAAGACACCTCATTTCATAAAAACGACCTAGCCGACAGCGTTCTTTAGCCCAAACCTCTCACCTCCATCTGATTACCTGGCACTGCTGGCAACTCCACACACACACACAAATCACCTTCCAGAAAACAAGGCTCAAAGTCACTCTAAAGAGAAAACAAATGCAAAAATTTCTGATGAAAATACTCAAAATACAAAAACGAGCAAAATTCTTTAACACAACACACATGAATTAAATGTGAATAAATAATTGCAGATATGAAAAAAATCCACATTAGAAAATCAAACTGAACTGGACAAACATGAAGATGGAAATGCCTGCTGCCGGGATCAGGAAAAAAAAGACACAAACATAAATGAAGACAAAAGTATCTAAGAAGAAAAGCAAAAATAAAAGGACATGGAATAGAAATAAAAAAAGAGAGCCAGAGTGAGGTGAGAAGGACCACGTCCATCCATGGAGCCGCAGTGCCGGCCCAGGGAGGGGTGCACGGGGCTCAGCGCTCAGTAGGCCAACCTGGAACTGGCCCTTCACACAGTCAGTGCTCTGAGAAAACAGATGCGGGAACTGTTTCAGATTTTTAAAAACTAAGGCGGAAAATCAAATGCAATGTACCTATGCTGTTTGGATCCTGGTTTTAAAAAGTTCAGACGCCGTGGCACACTTGGAAACTTAGTGGTTAGCTCACTCGATGATAACGTGGCTGCTAACGTCCTGGCTGTGTCCGTGTCTGTGAGGAACATCCTTATTCTGAGACAATGCACCAGTCAGTGGTCAGGGAGGAAGTGTGTTGTCTGTGTTCATTTCAGGCTTTGGAATATGTATAAACCTACATGTCCAGTCAGAGACAGGTCCACAGCCCAGTAGTCTTCCTTTTGGCTTGAGCACACACATGACACCAGCACACGCTCCCCACACACACACTCAGCTCCGGCAGTCAACACGCTCCTCTCCATGGAGCCGCAGCTTCCGCAGCGCTGGCACCCAGCCCGTCCACTGAAAGCCCCTTACTTTCCATTTCACCCTCAGTTCTGTGTTCCTCCCACCCCAGCAGGGAACACAATTTGGCCTTTCTCTAGACACAAGCCCAGCCACTTGTGCGACCAGGTCACATTTAAGCGGGCTCTCCCGACGCGGGTTCTGTCCCATCCCTGAGTTACTACCTGGTGCGTGGACCCTCTGCTCCATCCCCCCGCCTGTCACTGCAGCTTCTGCAGGGTCTTAACCAACCATGAAATCAGCCCAACTTGAAGATGCCCCCACCTCAGCCTCCCTGCACACAGCCTCCTTCTCCCGGTCCTTCCACCCTGCTGTCACCGGTCCTCAGAAATGTCACACCACTGCATCGCTGGTGTCCCAAATGCAGTCATCTCTGCCTCTGAGCCACTGACAGGCCTATACCAACCAGTGGCAGTTACTTCTTTTGCCCTGTTATTTGTGAAGAAATCTAGGAGTTTGTATGTTTAATCTGTTAAATGGTCACATTAATTAAAAGAACCGAGAAAACAGACAGCACAGTTAGTGTCCATGTACTTATAATTTGACAAAAAGGCAGTGTTTCCTAGATACGTCATGTGTTTTCTTCTCTGAAAAATGTTCAGTTCTTGTCACTGAAACCAGTAAGCAACTGAGCAGCTTCTGTCTGTATCTAAAATGGAAAAACACATGTTACGAGGGTGCAGCACAGCACAGGCCTGTGGGATCCCGTTCGCACATTGGGCCGCATTTCTGACTTTACCCAACTGCGATGGCACGTGTGGGGACAAATGTCCTCAGCGGGGACCGGTGACACATGAGCCACCGCAGCACTGTACCTGCCTCCCCGTTTCCGTTTTAGAAACTACCGTGTTTTGCCGTGTATAATGCACACCCACGTGTTTGGCCCAAACTTTCAGGGGAAAAAAATCTTTCGTTTAATTTTTTAATTCAAATTCTTATTTGTTTACATTTAGGTACTTGTTTTTTGTATTGTACAGGAATTTTAGCATGTATTCTGTTAACATATTACGGTATAAGAAGTTTTAGGTACCGGTAACAGATTTACGATCTTTACGCCTCATAGAAGGCCAAGAACTCTTCATCCTTGCAAGTTCCTCGTAAGTTCAACAAAACTGATCATCGTGTTCCAGGGTATTGTTTTGCATATGGATATCGTTACTGATTTCTAGAGTTACACCTAACTCATAAGCATAAATAAAAGAATTAAAGACATTTATATAGGTTCAGAATTAGTACTACCCATGTGTAATGCGCATCCTTATTTACTCTTCCCTCACAAACTTAAGCAAAAGTACGCATTATACACGGCAAAATACGGTCCTAGCTCTGCTGCGGGTCAGTCAGGAGGAGATCTTCCCGCAGCATGTCATTCCCATGTCTGCTGACAGGCGCGATGCGAATGTCCACGCCTCGCGTGTGAAGGCGACACTTCTAACAATAAGCGCGCAGACGCCGCCGGCTCATTTCCAGTGGTGTGTGTGCTGCCCCCGGGTGCAGACGCTTACCTGTCTGTCCTCCTCCGTGTGTGCCGGGTAATCCCTGGCTTTCACCAGCCAGAACGCGGCAAGCTTTTTGTTGTGTAGCTTCAAATAGGTCTTTCCTAAAAGAAGCAAGTTTTTGCTGTAGAAGTTTGGATCCACTGTTTGTAAGAAAGAAAAACAAATTGATCTCAGATACAGTATTGCTCTTAGGTTTTTGGTCTATACTCCAATAATAAATGTGTGTGTCAGTACATGATCAGGCTAACGTATTCTCCTGTTCAACTATTCGTATCACAACAATCTGTAAAATGACCGTTTATTATCTACTCTGTGCTGGGCACTGAACTGCACACATTTCCGCAGCGATTTTATAAAGCAGGGGCTCCACCTAATAGCTGGGGACCAGGCTGGGCGAGCAGGTGTGCTCCCTGGGGCAGGGACCTGGCTTTACCCAGCTGGTGCCCTGCTGTACCCGTGCCCACAGCAGTGCTGGAACCTAACGCGCACTCCACACACTTGCTGAGTGAGAATGGGATGACGACACGCACACTGCACACACTGGATCGACGTGAGTGCGGAGTGGGGCCATGCGTACGCACAGATGAAGCGAGGTCTCTGCTGTTGGAATTTACGATGAAAAGGAGAAACACGAGCACAACTGAATGTAACAAGGACAAAAAGAATGCTTTGAAAGGTGTACTAACTTTAAAGTATGGTGATCAAAGAAACCAAGGGAAAAAAGCAGGTAACTTAGAGGTTCCCCTGGGCAGCACTGGAGGCTGGACAGGATTTTAACAGAAAGGCGGAGACCATTCTCGGCGGAGGGAGAAATGGCCACAGAACCTACGAATGAAAGCAAGGGACCGTCTCACGAGCTTCACTAATTCTTTACACAGTTTCCTCCTATCAACCAGGACCCTTTATGTTCAAAGCATACTTCTCCCTGCATACAGTTTAACTCCGTTTGCTCCTTAGCCGGAAACGCTTACTTCTTTAATTTGAACATACTGGCGAGATGCCATGTGGGTGCACTTAAGGTTTCCTTGGGGTGAAGTAAATTTATTCATCCATCTTTCTCATTAGCAATTTTGCCCAGTATCATCCTAAACGACGAGGAAGCAGCTGTGAGCAAACAAAGTCCCATCTTCCCTGAACCTGGTTTTAGACGCGTAAACAAATACTCATGCGCAGAGCGACAGGGTGAGGACCATGATGGAGGGGTAAGAGGAGCTTCTACACCAGACATGGCCGGAAGGGGAGGCCGCCCAGAGCCAGCGCCCTCTGGGGTAAGACGTGGAGAAGACCGCACTTAACTCTCAGGACTCTGTTCCTGCAGGAGAGCGAGGCCATGTTTTTCTCAGCACGCCAACCCTCACGTGTCTACCACCCTGTTTTTACTTTGCAATCACGCTTCTAAATCCCTTTGTGGAAATGTCATTCCTAGATTTATGTTCTTGACACATCAAGCTACCATGATGAGGATGCAGAGGAAGACAGTAAGTCAGAATTAATGTATCGCAGAGATAGGTAACACTCAGTTCTTTAGGAAAAAATGCTTTTTAAAAAATGCTTTGTTATGAAAGCATTTGGACAAGTCCATATGCATAGACTCTCAAATTTAAAACACTGTCTAATTTTCTGATTAAGTTTTACAGAAATATATTTGACCCTTCTCTAGTTGGTGCTACTAATATTAAAAAGAAGAAATTTAGGATGGGCTGGTGTCAGTTTTATAGGCTGGCCATTTCTTCAAAGCAAGAGTGACAGGAAACTCTTCTTCACAAAAGTAGACAGTATCTGCAACGGAATAAAAACTGGCCTGGTTTAAAACCTGACGGTTCTCACTGAAATGCCTCCGATTAGCTGTGTGGTCTTGAATGAGACTGAGCTACCGGGCAAAGCCTTCTCTCAAAAAGGAAGGCTGAGTTTGAAGACATCAAAGAAAGGACCATTCCAGAATCGCAGCTCTAAATTCAGGAGGTCCGAGTTTTTACTCAGATGATCTTTGCTGAATAAGCACTTTAAAAATTGTTTGATAGTGTCTAGTACAAAAGTATATCAGAATAAGTAACATTTTTGCTTTAAAAATTCCTATTGTATATAAAGTATCCATACAATTTTAACTATATTAGTATCTGAAATAAAAAATATTTTACCTTGCTCTGCCCTTTGAAAGTAGCTTAAGGCCTGTTAAAAACACAAAGAACCAAAACATAATGAAAAGGGTTACAACAGAATCAGTATTTAAAAAGCATTTTCCCAAAAGATCTACTCCTATGTTACATATAAGTCAGGAAATACATGAAGACATCTTAAAATAATGGTCAATTCATCAACAGCGGGACTTAACAGCTAACTTGAATGTAACACTGTTAGGTCACCAGAGCCCGCGGCCCCTGCAGTCACAATGCAGACCGGACCCGCTGAGCGCTGTCAGGAGCTCCTCTGCTATTCCTGATCTTTCTCTTCTGAAATCCTAACAGTGACTCCCGGTAAAATCGAGATAAAATCCAAAGCTGAATTTACTCAGTGATACATAGGTTGTTCCGGTGAGTTTTTCAAAGTCCTTTACTATTGAAATGCCTATGTAACATGTTACTATGAGGCTGGAACTCTGCTAATTCTTTTTGTCCCACTTAAAACTGTTTTTATAATACATTCACTGACAACCAATTTCCCAAACAAGTAATTTGTCATAGCAGAGCTGACTACCTTTTTTCTTAGAATGCATTCTTTTTAATAAATATTTCCCAAATATGTTTTAATTATATACCTAATATACTTTACATCAAATTCTACACTACAGCTTTCCAGGAGAAAAAAAAAGCTCCTTCTTATGATACAAGTACTGGGAAAACTATTTCCACTGCTTTCCTTACTCTGAAAATATTGTGACTAGTAAACCCAAAATATTTGCCCAGAAATCCCTTTCAAATTTTATTTTTAACAAGAAAAACGAAAGGCCTGGAAAATACGAGCAAACAGAGCCTTTCAATACCAGTTTTTAAAAAAAGTTTCAATTCTTCTTCCTTTGTCAGTACCAACGTGGGCTTTATTTTCCAGATAAATGGCTGTCATTCTGCAGAGTATTACCTAAAACATGCTGAATGACAGCTGCTGTATTTCTTGTTCTATTTTATGACTTTTATATGGTACGAATTTCAAACAGAAAACGAACACAGATGTTAGCTACTCTAGCCAACAACACACCAGAGTTGTCAGCCACTCACCTAATGAAAACCCACTCACCAGTGTGGACAGAGGTGCTAATTAGCTTTGTGAGCTGCGAGCTAGGCCCTCACTCAGTCCAGATGCCTGCACACTGCCAACGGCCCTGCAGTTACGAAACCAGCGCTAACGACACGAGGACAGCACACACCTCCTCATAGGTGGAGCTGGGTGGGGTCGCAAACAGCACTTTAGCAATCCTCCTCTGATACCAAGGCATTTCAGCAAACGTATAACACCTACAGAGAAATAAAAGAACATTTACACATTTGAACTGCACCTTTGTTTCTCCTAGAGACACAGATATACAAGGAACCTTCCATTGTACATTTAAACAATTTGTACTTGGCATAGTATTTAGTAGGCTAGTCCTCACACTGCATCATCTAGACATGGCTTCCTGATGCATCAATTACGGTGTATACTGGGGTGACATAGACAGGCAGCGATCACACTCACAGTGATAACCGTGTCTTCACCACTGAGGGCAACTTTCTGCCAGGTGCTAATAAGCTCAGTGGTTCTCTCACCTTATAACCAAATGAGAGAAGATCATTACCCCCATTTTTCACACGGGAAAAACTAACTCAGAAGTTAAAAAAGAATCAAGAAAAATGAGAAAATAAACACGATATGCATAAAACAAAGGCGAGTTGAAGTCCCCATATTTAAAAAGGTGAGGAGACGGTCACCACACGACGATCTTGACAGCTCTGAAATGAGCAGTGAACAGGGTGGGGTGTGGGACGAGGTCTGACCGTGCGGTAGAGACTGTATCTCACTCATGTTGGCTCTCTGGCCTCTGCCTTGGTGACTGTCCCTCAGTTGTCACCCTTCCTCAGTAGGTGGAGAGGTTCACACATCCTTTAGCCCTCTTTTAAAAGAGCTTCACACAGGACTGTTACGCTGTTATGCCTCTTAGAAGACAAGGAATATTTAGCTCTGCAGACCCAAAGAAAACAGTGACGGACCTTTCTCAAGACTCTTAAACCAGGAAGCATTTGACACACTGGTGCACGCTCCCACCAGCCAAATACGATGTACGGTGGACAAAGGTTACACGAGCACGCAAGCATCCTGGGGTCAGCTGCCATGTTCCCCATGATGGGGTGCATCCGACACACTAAAGACAGATGCCCTCAGGGCCCTACCGCGTCTCCACAGTGGAGAGTGAGCCTGTTTCACTCGGCCTGAGAAAGGAGTCTTTCCCAACAAGGGAATTTTAAAAGACTAACCAAAGTTCTAATGCCGTTTTAGTCTTAGTACAGTGGTGCCCCTTTATCCACGGTTTCGTTTCCTGAGGTTTGTTACCGTGATCCAAAACTATGAAATGGAAAATTCCAGAAATAAACAATTTTAAACTGCACGCCCTTCCAAGCAGCGTGATGAAATCTCGCAGGATCTGCTCTGTCCTGCTGAGAAGGGGAGCCGTTCCTTTGCCCAGCGTCTCCGCACGAGGCGCGCCCCCCACACACATTAGACACTTAGTAGCCACCTTGTCTATCAGATCAACTGGCAGGTACTGCAGTGCGTGTGGTCAGGTCACCCCTACTCTACCTCCTAATGGCCCCAAAGCGCAGAAGTAGTGACGCTAACAAATCAGATGCGCCCAAGAGAAGCCGGGCAGTGCTTCCTTTAGCTGAAAAGGTGAGTTTATATGAAAAAAACCCAGCATACACAGGGTTTGGTACTATTCACGGTTTCAGGCATCCACTGGGGATCTCAGAAGGTGTCCCCCGAGGATAAAGGGGAACAACTGTACATGTTTCTAAATGATCTGCATAATAAGGTTTAAAACGATCACAATCAATTTGTTAGTATTTTCTAACAGTACATGCCCAGCCACTAGTTAATTTAATGCCTTAAACACTCTTGACTTCCAAGTAAATATTTTAAAATATTTTACATCTTGTTTTTTATACATTACAAAGATGATACTAAATAACACTGAAAATTTTATTTAAATAAATTTTCTTACCAAATACCCATAAGGTGAATTGAGGTGGCATCTTTAGGGTTCAATTCAATTGCTTTCTAACAAGAAATGAGAAAATCATGAGAAAATCAATCATTTGTTTTCTAAACACCAGCAAGAACTTTACTATGTTTGCTGAAGAAGCAATGATTTAATAAACATTCTGCAACGTGGCATTTCAAGTCTATGATACTCAGCACCAATTTTTTTCCTCCTGATTCTGTAACTGGTTCACTTTGTTTCCAAACACGATTAGATGACTTGTACTAAGGTTACCGTTTTATAGGGTCAGAAACTGATAACAGGGTTGATGAGAAAAAAACATGAAATTTGTCAGTGAAACTAATTCTGAAAATAGCAACCTTTAGCGCTCACGTTCTTTCTTCTAGATTAAAAGAAAAATAAGGAAGTTCTTTTTGCCAAGTCCTATATGACTACTGAACAAAAAGTACTCTTCCCTAAAAGAACAAAGAACATAATTTTAGAAAGTCTCCTCTTGTATGCAGATTTTGCTCAACTTCCCATCTATACTTAACCAAGGAAAAATACTACTTATTCACGGAATTTGTGACTAGAATAATTCTGTATAATGTAAAATATGTTGATAATCTCCCTAGTGTCTATTTCCTATGCGAAAGTCTGATGTTAATTAATGTAAAGTATAAACCACAGAATAACTTTGAAGAAATTACTCCTCGTTTTATCCATTATTTTGCTGAAAAATAAGGAAAGCTCATAGATTAACATAATCCCATTAAAAATAAAAGACCCCTTTTTAAAAATTGAGACCTCCTAGCTGATGCTTTTTGGTACACACACATTTTCACTTTCAGTTGGTAATACGTGAGACACACATTTCAAATATTTGTACTGGTTACCAGGGTTCAATCACAGCTCGATGACGTCTAACTTGTTTAGCTTGGCGTGTCTGGGTTTGCTCTTTTACAGAACTGAGAAGACAACACAGCTCCCTCAGAGGGTGGTGGGGACAATGAAATGGGCAAGTGAAAGCAGGCGCTTAACACAGCGATGCCATTCATCACCGGCGTCAGTACCATCTTCACTTTGCTTAAGTACCAGGCACTTAATCATGCTTTAAGCACACAAGTACGAATCAGCACTGATCATAAGTTTACTTTTCTATAAATACAGTGATACAATTTATAGTAACATATTTAAAGTGTATTCTTCCCCGATGGCAGGTAAACGAGAAACTCAAGTCCTACATGAAATTATTTAACTAATTCCTTCGTTCTACCAAGAACGGCCTGGACCCAGTACCATTCTACACGCAAAAGGAAGTTCATTCGTCACGTGTAATCGACGCCCCCAGGCTATTAGAGTTCCGCTGTCTCATGAGTGGGTTGGAGGGGCTACTCTAAGCAAACCTTTTCAAAACTCTTTAAGTGTCTTCAAAATCGACCAGAATAATTCTTTCTGACGTTAGCTATAATAGTGGAATTCAAAAGAGTAGTATAAATGATACTTTGTCAAAAATACATTGTCATTTTTAAATAGACTTAACACAGATACATTTGAAAGCATATACAAAACACTTTTTAAAAAATATAACCTATAGCCTTCACTGTTTCTTTAAAGTATGCATTAATACATTTTCTGCAATTTCTTATTATTCACTTTGGAAGTTACTTGTCATGTGTTTTTACATCTTAAGGCACAGAGTAATTTAGAAGATTTATCTAATGCCATGGAGCATAATACTGTTTTTCATTAAGTGTAAGATACCATAAAAGTTATGACACGTCATTATTTTATGGGCCACTAAGAAAGAAAAAGCGCTGCCAATTACCAGATGTCACTGATTTAGCTAATGCAATCTGATTTCAAATGTCATAAACTGTGAAAACCGTGTATTATTAAACCAAAATATATACACACGTGTATACACACACACACCACCGATGCCTGAACGAAAGGCTAGGTCTCCTGACTCCCAGCCCAATGCTCCTTTTCAGTAGTCATTAAATACACTAGGAACCAAAACCATAACCACAGAACCCAGAAAGGGTATTATCAGATAGCACATGTCGCATTAGCCCTCTGTTTTCAGTACCTCCTCTTCCTCTGTATTGTTGAGGTGGTGTAAAATTATAAAAGAAATATGCTGGGCTTTTAGTGGCAGTTTTGTTTCGTTTTGAGGACAATGCAGTAGTGTGTGCGCACATCATGAAATATACACGCTCCTGCAGAATTATGTAAATTAACTATCGAGGGGATATTAACACGTACACACCCAGATCCTAACTGTACACGGCGCTGGCACTAGGGGGAGTAGTGTGCCGACGCCGACTTAGCGCCCCAGCACCGAGGCCTCGCACAGCCCCTCCTGACTCTGCTCCTGGCCCGACTCGTTTGCTTCGGCAGGGTATGACCAAGGGTGCTGTTTGCACTCTGGAACTTTTCCCTTGCCATGCTCACTCTGGGAATCCAGCAATAATGCTGCGAAGAGCTGGGTCTGACAACTAATGACAAGAATGTGGCGAAACCGTTGTAGGTGAGAGGCCACCTTGTACTTTCCTGTCCCAGCTGAGGGTCCCGGTGAACACAGCACTCTCCATGGACCTGGCGACACCAAGCACAACAGAAGCACCGGGGGCAGTCAGCCCACCCAACTGGGAGAAACAAACTGTCACTGCAGAGGCCACTAAATTGTAGGCGGTTTGCGATACAGCAACAGGTAAGTGAAACAGAAATCTAATCAGAAAATGACGACTTTTAAGTTCATCGGTACCTCAAAATGCTCCTTGATGACGTAGGCATTTGCAATTTTAGCCTTGATGCCTTCATAATCTCCAACATCACTAATACAGATTGCATACCACTAAAAATAGAATGAAAAGATAAAAGAATAACACTGTTAATAATATTCCATTCAACACAAGGCAAAACTGAGTATTCCTCAGTAGTCATTCTCATTTCACAAATAGTTTTTGAGCATAAACACTGTATTAAATACGCTGGAATACACAAAGAAAAGTGGATGTGGCCCTCAAAGATCTCAAGGATACGACATGTTTATGGAGAACCACAGAATAACGCAGAGAGGAGTGTCTCTAAGAAAGTCACCAACACAATGTGGGGATCATGATACACGTCTACAGCCTGAGTACAGGAAATTTTTATTTTAGAAAAATCTGCAACTGAATGAGCATCGTGTTATTTTCTCCTCATCTCTTCTGGGAGCCACCTCTTCTCCCACATCTGCGTTGTTATAGTAACACAGCCACATCTGTCCACTGTGACCGAGTTCCCACAGCCATACTTGGTCAACAGACCCAGAATGAGACAATCTGAGCTTCTTCCCTAAAAACTGAATGCAAAGCATCGGAGTTCCATAAACCAGGTGCTGTGGGAAGAAGTCACAAGACTTAGGATGAGAACAATAGTCCACAGTGAAAAGGATGCGCAGAGGACAGCACGGAGGAGGGATAAGAATCTCAGAGTGATCGAGGCAGTTGTTTCTGAAGCGTTAAGGTACCCTGCCTTTGGGTTCTGTGAGATATAATAGTTTCTTATAATAAACAACTTTCTTTTGCTTGAGCTTATTTCTGTGTGATTTTAATAATTAGAACCACAAAGACTTCAACACTTAAACTTCAGTTTAAACTACCGTATTTCCCCATGTATAAGACACACCCTTTTTCAAAAACTTTGGGGTCTAAAACCTGGGTGCGTCTTCTACAGTGGTTGTATGAGCGCAAAAACAGCAGGAAATGCAAGTAAAAAATATCTACAACCACTGTATAAGACACACCCAGGTTTTAGATACCAAATTTTTCGAAAAAGGGAGCGTCTTATACATAGGGAAATACGGTACTTTCCACCAAAATATTTTGTATCCTGCTATTTTATTAAAAATTAAAAAGGATACTTTAAACCACACACACACACACCCCTCTGTAGACTATGCTAATTTAATCTCCACTGACAGACACACAGTTGCCCAAATCCAGAGGACTAGAAGGGTCTTCACATAGGGTCTTCCAGCTCGGTGCTCCGATCCCACCCCCCTTCTCAGGGCCCTGGATAAAATCGCCTCCTCTTATGCACCGAACCACCGCCTACATCTGCAACAAACAAAGCTTATGGGTGAGTCCTAAACATTCTCCCCCAATGAGACTGGCATTTTGTGGCCGGTTAATTAATGATCATATTAGTAAGAGTTGACGGTAGGAGGTGTGGTCATGGGCGATCTCTATTTCCATATTTGCATTCTTTTTTTCAATTTCCAAAATGTCTATTGTTTACATTGAGTTTACATTATTTTTAAAGAAACTTTTAAATAGATTTCTAGCCAAGAAGGGGCAACAGATCCTAGATTCGCCTCCTTGCCTGAAACACTAAAAAAAACAGACAAAATATAAGAAATAAAGAATCTCAAGATACTATCAGGCGATAGTGATACCTGAGGGGAGAAAAAATGAGGAGCGTCTAAGAGCTGCCCCATTTGATCAGGAACAAACAAGGATATGCACCCTTGCCACTTCCACACTGTGCTCGCCCTTTGAGCCAGGGAAATTGGGCAAGGTGAATAATGGAAGGTGTCCAGATCGGAAGGGAAAAAGCAAAACCATCTCTACTTATAGATGACATGATCTCATATTGAAAACCCTAAAGAATCTTCCAAAAACAAAAACAAAAACACCCTAGTAGAACCAATGAGTTTAGCAAAGCTACAAGATATAAAATCAATATGCAAAAATCAGTTGCATTCCTATACACTATTCCTATACACTAGCAGTGAACAATCTGAAAATGAAATTAAGAAAGCAATTCCAATTATAATAGCATCAAATAGAATAAAGTACTTAAGAATAAATTTAACCAAAGAATATTACAAAACACTGTTGAATGAAAAAAGATCTAAATAAACGAACTGGACATGTTCATGGACTAGAAGACATGATGTTAAGATGGCAGCATTCCCCTAATTGGTCTACAGTTTCAATATAATCCCTATCAAAAACCCAACTGGCTCCTTTGCAGAAACTTATAAGCTGATCTTAAAATTTGTATGGAAATTCAAGGGACTCAGAATAGTCAAAACAACCTTGAAAAAGAACAAAACTGGAGGACTCACACTTGCTTATTTCAAAACTTACTAAAAAGTTATAGTTACCAAGACATTGTGGTACTAGCATAGGATACACATAAACCAATGGAACAGAATTGAGAGCTCAAAGATAAACCCATACATTTATGTTTAACTAATTTTTGTCAAGGATGCCAAGACAATTCAGTGGAGAAAGAACAGTCTTTTCAACAAATGGTGTTAGGAAACTGGATATTTATGTGCAAAAGAATTACTCTGGACTCCTAGCATAATAGGTATAAAAGTTAACTCCAAGCGGGGATAAGACCTACATGTAAGAGCTAAAAATTATAAAACTCTTACAAAGAAGCATAGGTGAAAATCTTCGTAACCTTGGATTGGGCAAGTTTTTCAGATGTGACATCAAAAATAGAAGTGATCAAAGAAAAATGAACTTCATCAAAATCAAAAGTTGTGCATTAAACAACACTGTCAAGAAAGTAAAAAGACAGAATTGGAGAAAATACTTGCAAGTCATGCCTAATGAGGGACTAGTTAGTGTCCAGAAAATATTGTCTTACAACTGAACAATAAAAAGACAACCAAGTTTAAAAATCAGAAGAGACATTTTCCTAAAGAAGATACACAAATGTAATAAGCACATGAAAAGATGCTCAACATCATTAGTAATTAGGAAAATATAAATCAAAATTATGATGAGATATCCCTTCACACCAAGTAGGATTGCTGTAACTTTTTAAAATGGACAATAACAAGCGTTGGTGATGCAAACAGTAAAAGCAGTGGTTCAACCAACTATAAAACTATAAAACTAGTACAAAGGTTAAAAGACAACAGCAGGAAGATCCTGTGCAGTCACAACAATAAATTAAGGGATAACCACAGACACACACACACACACACAAAAGAGTTTTAAAAATAACAATAAATAAATAAATGGGTGAGAAAAATTTGTAGTGATTTTAGAATGTGGTTGAACTTAAGCAACCATCAACCTAAAATTGACAGTTATCAACATAGCTTGGTATACATGAAGCACATAGTAACCACAAACCAGAAATCTATAAGACATACAAGAAATAAAGAGAAAATAATCCAAACATAACACTACAGAAAGTCATGAACACACAAGAGAGCAAGAAAATAAGGAACAGAGAAAAACTACAAAAACAATCATAAAACAATTAATAAAATGGCAATAACTACATATCTATCAATAATTACTTTAAATGTAAATAGACTAAACACTCCAGTCAAAAGACACAGAATGACTGAATGGATAAAAAATAAGACCAGTACATATGCTGCCTACAAGAGACCCACTTCACACTGAAAGACACACACAGACTGAAAGTAAAGGGATGGAAAAAAATATTTCATGCAAATGGAAGTGAAAAAAAAAAAGCTGAAGTGGCAATACTTATATCAGACAAAATAGATTTTAAAACAAAGGCTGTAACGAGACAAAGACAGGCACTTCATAATGATAAAGGGAACAATGCAGCAAAAGGATATAACTCTTGTAAATATTTATGCACTAAATGCAGGAGCAGCTAACTATATAAAGTAAATATTGATGGACATAAAGAGAGAGATTGACAGTAAACAGTCATAGTAGGGGATGTTAACACCCCACTGACATCAACGGGTAGAGAATTCAGACAGAAAATCAACAAGGAAACAGTGGCCTTAAATGACACGTTAGACCAGATGTACTTAATTGACATTTTTAGAGCCTTTCACCCCAAAGCAGCAGAATACCTATTCTTTGCAAATACACATGGAACATTTTCCAACATAAACTACATGTTCGGCCACAAAACATGGCTCAATAAACTTAAAA